TCTTCAGGTGTGACACGTGTCCCTGCCCGTCCTTGCTGACAAAACAGAAGGTCGTCTACATTAGCAGATGCAAAGGAGAAACCATGTACGATCTGGTCAATAAAACGTTGAAACGTTTGAGCTACATTCATTGGCATGGAGCCTTTGTGGTTGACAAAGCTAAAATCTTCGGAACCTTCTAATAGGTAGGTGGTTATATCACTGAATAGCAAACTGCAAACAGACAAGCAACGTCGGCTGGTTATAACACAAGCTTCGAAAATTGTGATGGAAAACGAAAATCCATGTCCGTCTCATGAATCGCAGTGAGTCCTAATAAATTTGTACACGTCAATGACTTGATAGGTGGATTATTTAGTACCAACTACCATTTTGCTAACTTTCAAGAATTATTCATTTGATGCTGCTTGTAAACTGGTATTTCTCACGCTAATCGATCATATGAGAATGGAACTTATTACTATCTAAACCTTAACGCTCCGTATAAGCTGGAAAGTGATATTTACTTGTTGCTTTCATGACCAGCAGGATATTCTGATGTTCAAGCCCCCTGTACCATTCAGGACTTGTAAAACCTTTTTGACACGTATCAATCTACTGATGTCTGCAAACTGGCCCCTCTTGCGTTAAATTACTAATGTTAGAGCTAAATGTTTATTTATGTGCGTACAAGCTCGTTTAATCCAAGAGGTGTGGTGATCGCCGTTTTGAGGATATCCTCGGGATTTATCGATATGTGATAGTGCCCCCCCTGATCAGATTTATCTTGGAAAAAACGTTTAGATCAGAAGAAGTACCGTGGAAACAGTGAAGATGTCGGAGCGGATATCTGTCTGGTGAGGTCTAGCTGTTAAGGGCCCTGTAATCGCTACAAGGACGGACATCTGAAGAATTCTTTTTCGGCACCATACGTATGAGTGATGCCCAAGGGCCACTGGAAAGGCATATAATGCCAAGTCTTGGTATTTTATCAAGCTCATTCTTTGCTAAGTTCAAGCGGTTGGGATCAAGAAGTCTTGGACGCGCAAAGACAGGATGTTCCTCCGTTTTTATGTGATACAGCACTCTATGTCGCACGTCCTCAGCTCGGTAGGTAGGGTAGGTATGCAGGTGGTGTAAGGACAAGTGGTTTGATGCGGAACAGATACTAAACTCACCGATTTTTCATTTGACAAAATCCCGTTTGTGAAAATGCTCTGTTCGGCGCCAAAATCTTGCTCTTTTTAGCATCAGCTAATAAAGCGTAACGTTTTGGGAAATCAGTGCCGATTATAGGTACCGAAGCATCCACTTCGGTGAACTTCCAGGACAACTGGGTAGTGAGTCCATGACTTGGTGCCAATCTCCGTGTTCCGTAAGTCCTTCCTTCGGAGTTGTGGCTGTGTATCCGAGTACTGCTTTTCTCTGTCAAACCGGTGTACCACACTAACTTCTGCTCCTGTGTCGATTGAAAATTGTGCACCAGTCGATTCGCCCGTCACACAAAAGACGACTGTTGAAATTTTTCACGTCGACGGCAGCAGTCGTCACAGACACCCTGCAGGTTCGCTTCCCTGGTGATGCGTTTTGTGGAAGCTACATGCGAAAGTGCAGTGTCTGGGGTTTCTTCCAAATTCACGATGGTACCAACATATGCCAGGGTTTGGTGACCGCCTTTTACGGCTCCTTGAGTTACAGTAAGGCTTGCTTCTGCGTCGCCTCGCAATATGCTTTTGCGAGCCTATTTTGTCTTTTTTTTCACCGCTTCTGACCACACATGGATTGCAACGACCAGGTTATACGTGGAACAAGAGAACAAGGAGGTGGGTTCGCGAAATATGGGGTCCAGATCTAACGCCGGGAAATCCCGTTTGAGGCACTTCACTGAATGGACTTGACCGAGTCAGGTGAGTAGCAACAAAATGGATGCTAAGAAAGCTACAAGGTAACCCTAGTTGCCAAACAGTACTCATAATTGAAAGTTGGCCATCGAGAAATTCGCAAACAGTGAAATGCCAGCCATGACTGAAGGTTCGTTGAAACTGCTTTTCAGGCAAGATCTAACTTTTGTGGGATTCCTCACTTCACGAAGTTGCAGTGGCTCCTTCTCATGATCTTTTCAGGAGGCTTAATGCCTACTCAGAATCCTGGGGTACAAACGGGATGTTTTCAAGAAACTTCCTACTCTCCTATACACTGCTAGTGTTAAATGTATCCGAATAAAACTACTTAATCATGAATATCTACATCGTTCTGGGTTTTTAGGAAATGAAGCCAATCTATATCGAATGATTTCTGCGAACTCAAATCTGGAACACAGAGAACAATGGTCCGCTATTGTCACAATATGAAGTTTGAGGACCGCGGAATGACCCCAAAATCATACCTGGATAATATCATGGAGTGAGAGTTCAAAAGCTGTCACTTCCCTAGGGAGAGCAAGATTTGAATGTAGTGGGTTTTGGTAATAAATGGTGCTGAAGCCTCTGCAGATAGGATGGAAACTCATTTAAGTAGTTTCATCGTCTTTTACACAAATGCTCGCAGTCTCTGAAACAAGTGGACTGAGCTTAGTAATGTGATAAGCAACGAAAGTCCTGACATCACTGCTATCTCTGGAACTTCGCTGTCCTCTTGAATCAGTGACTGTGAAACACACGAGGATTTCTCCTTTTCAGAAGTGACACGTTAGCATGCAAAGGTGGTGGTGTCATCCTTTATGTTAAGAATACCTTAACTGTAAAAGCCATAGAAACAGTTGCACATGAATGTGGGGCATGTGATATGCTGTGATTTAACTAAAATGTAACGGACAAGATGTTAACGTGATCACAATATATCGAATCCCTGAATGCAAGACAGCAGACTTCCTCCTGAATAAGGTGACCCTGTGGAAAGATAAATGGCGATGTATGGTTCTAGGAGACTTCAGCGCGCCACCAGTTGACTGGGATAGACTGACAACAGGTTGGTGGAAACATCAATCTTCTTAGCCCTCATATAGCACATTAGGACAGCGACCAGGTATGATAACCACCATGCTCCATCAGTTCTAGACATAGAATCCCCACACACGTGATGTATGCTTCATCCGGCACTTTGAACCTCTTTGTAAAAATGACCATGCTGTGATCATCTTCAGATTGATACCAGACCCCTTGTACTAAGACGATGCCTCAACTAGACCCGACATATGGGAAGCGAATATGGGAGCTATTGACCTGGCAGCCTCTTCGGAGGACTGGACAGTCAATCCAGAAGCCTCAGTTGTATGCATGAGTGACTCAGCCGTTAATTATATGGACTGTCTCGAGGGGACGGAAACACTGTCCTGCACGCATAGGTAACGAAATCTGAATCTTGCTACGACGTAAGAAGAAGTGTTGGAGTCTTGCCACCCACCTCACTACTCACAAGGTGAAGAAGCACTACAAAGTAGCCCGAAACAAGTGTATCGCTGCTATCCACCAGTCCCGAATATGCCTTGAAACGCCTCTTGTCATGACTGCATCGCAACATCCGCAGAGTCTAGTTTCCCGCACGAACTATAGAAATAAGATGTATCGTGGTATACCCACACGAATCTGTGGGACAGAAACTGACTGTTTGATGGAAGACGATAAGATAAAAGCAGAAGCTTTGGCTGGATATCTCACTGAGATCTTCACACAGGAATCTTCTGAAGACATTTATCCAATAGTAGAAGCATGGACATCGGGTAGAAAAACACTGTGGACATCGATGGCAGTGAAGTATTTCTGACATTAAGTACTCTCGCTGTAGAAAAATCAACGGGATCAGATGAGCTGCACCCAAGGCTACTCAGACAGCTTGCACTCTATGTAGCCGGCCCATTGACCACCATATTTAGGTTGTCCCTCAGTCAAGGCGTTCGACAAGCTACCTCATTTCAGGTTATTCGGGAAACTGGAAAGTTTTGGAGCCACTGGCAGTCTGCTTGCATGGATAAGATAATTCCTCGTTGGTAGGAGATAAAGGGTGAGGATCAATTATTGATTCTCCTCTTGGAAGTCGATGGACAGTGGATTGCCACAAAGCATAGTCCTGGGTCCCATGTTGTGTCACTTATACGTAAATGAGCTGCCAAATATCACGAAATCCCCTATGGTTCTCTACACTCATGATGTAAAAATCTCGCGTGGAATTGGGAACGACGAGGACACACGTGCACTTCAATCAGACACAAACAGCTTGTTTACCTGGCCAAAGAAGTGGCTGATACCCATCAGTATGGGCTAATGTATGAGCATACACTTGGAGCACCCACATGGCAACACCTACAATATCGATGGGACTCCTCTACCATCAGTACTGACCCACAATGACCTAGGAGTAACAGTGAGTTATGACTTGAAACCACAGCTCACTGTCAACTGGCACAGCTCAGAGCCTCAGGACACTTTGGGCATCACGTGTAACGTTTACGAAAGTAAGGGGTGACATGTTCACCATGTTATACACATCCTTGGTTAGGTCCAAATTAGAAGGATGACTCAGACCTCCTAGAAAGAGTTCAGAGGGCAGCCACTCGTACGGTCCCTGGGATGGCTGGCCTCACCTACGTATACCGACTTGAGGAGCTGAAGCTTTTTACTTTGTCCTATAGCAGACAGAGGGGAGACATAATCATGCTATACAGGATTCTGAGAAATGACTCCTGACCTGGTCTGTCTTCCCTTTTTCCCCCTGCTGGGTCAGAACACCCCAGAGTACACGGTAGGAGATTGCAAAAGCGAAGAACGAACATAGTCTCCTCAGAGTACTGGCTGTTGCACTGAGCAATCAACGCCTGGAACGGATTCCCAGAGGCAGTGGTATCCGCATCATCATTTGCCTCGTTCGAAAGGGGATTGGACAAGCACAGAAATCTACTGGATATGAGTGACATAGGCTCAGAGCCTCCTATCCTCAAACTATGAATCGGAATCTGAAATCCACGTTCGCAATTTCTTTGTTAGATTGGAAGAGGCAAATTTAAACTATACGCTTCCATCGTCCTAATGATTTCTGGTTCAGTTAAGACTGTCAATGAACTGTTTACAGAAAATACTACGGACGAGTTGCAGCGTATCGTTCGCCAAAAACGGTAATGATTCAACTTAATGTGATGCTTTCTTCAGGACTGAAGTAGAGCGGAAGAAAGATGAGCTTCGTCAGCTTGTAGGTGAAAGACATAGAGACATCGTTGATGCATCTGATCGAATATTGCTAATGAGAAACTTAACTTTTGAGGTAAGAATTAAGGCTCTTTCAGCAAGCCTTAGGTTTCTGGTCTGTTAGAGCAACTAAGGTCAAGTTTATCAATTTGGAATCAAGATGTGGTGAAGAAAGAGTAAGTGATATGCTTGTTTACCTTAGTCCTTCGACTGAAACAAAATCCCATGAATTATCAATTGCTGCCCAGCTTAAGTTAATGCTTGATATCCCTGAGTTGGTAAGTTCAGCTCTATATTTCACTGGAAGATTTGGAATTATATGGACGTAGGACAGCATGTTTCATCTGCAAGAATGTCTTGCCTTGGCAGACACCTGAATGCTAGGTTAAATCTAAGTCGTGAAACTCAGCTTTCACACATAAATGCAAAGGTGCTTGTCAGCCGAGCGTGGGATTCCTTGGTGCATATGGAAGCAGCTGTAATTCTAGCGTGTCGCAGGCGACTATGCGCCCCTCCGTCAACCAGAGAAGTGCTGAAATGTTTCTTCCGCTCATTTCTAGGAAATACTTGACTCTCTGGCTGCCTTAGTGGTACTGGAAGATCTCGATTTGCCGCAAGTTCTTGAAGAGTATTTCAAAGCTAGGACGGTATGTTCCTCATACTTGTTGCTTGTCACTAACTTTTATTACCGAAGTATTTTGTGTTTTATGTGTTTAAAGCAGTATACTGCATAAAAGTACAAGTCGTATAAACGATAACTAACCCATACTCCATGTCATCAGTGACATAGTGATGCGTTTAGAGTCGTCTGCTTTGAGATGAAGTTATGCAAAACAAGCAGGTTGACTTTTTAAGACATATTCTCGGAGTGTGTCTTTATTTAAGATGACATGGATTTCCTCTCTCAAAAAAAATACTTTTCATTTGATTTGCAGCGTTGACTGCACTTTCCAGTGTTATATACATGCGGAGTTTTAGTTAGGATTCCATAGGATGATGTCAGTTTAGGGTTTTTGAGATAGGCGCTTAGCACTTACTGCAACTGCTAGTCCTCAAGCGATGGACGGATCTTTCGTTGACTGTTGGTCTGAGCCAAGTATGTAAATATAAAAATTTTGATTGGAGTTTGCATGACAATCTAAACTGTTTGGAGACTAGGTCATACGGCTCATAATCGATCTCACTAGTACAAATGCAATCACACATTATCTTCTTCTTAATTGTCGTGCCAAATCTCAGTATTGTCTCACTCCTCTTTGGTCTCTTTTAACTATTGCCTACCACCTTTACTACTTTCTTTATTTCTATATCTTTCACCTTAGTGCATTCGCCTGACGCACTACTTTGAGTTGTGGCAACTTGGACCACTGTGTAGTCATGACAGGTATTATGTTAATATTGTTCTTTGAGTTTTCTGTCTAATCCATCTTGGTGTTCTGATCTTTCATAAACGAGTTTACACTCAAACTTCTGTCAGATTGTCCCTAATTATGATGCTAAACTCACCCTGGTCATTAAACACAATTAAGTGAAAGGTATGATCAGTTCCATATTTACTGGGAACGTGGAAGCATAAATGCTAATGTTGAGTAGTTTATCATGTTAAAATTGAAATAACAGGATTTGTTGATATGCAGATTCACTTGTGAAAACAATATGCGTGGTTTGGGTTAGCACTACAAAGCTCAATCGTTTTATTCTCTAATTCTCTTCTGTTTCTAAATGCGAACCATTATATTTCCACTCACTAATAAAATAGCAGCGAGGTCTTTTGATTGGGTGGTAGTCTACTATTTAGACTTTTTCTCTAAGGTTCGAAACTTTTTGCAGTCATAAACCATAGTCATGCGATTTTAATCATAAAGCTGTCATCCAGCTGTTTGGTCACAGATTTTGAATATGTTTTATCTATGGAAACCCAAGAGATATTGTAAGGATATTAATCTCCACACAATAGGTTTGGTCTGGTTTATACCACAGGTTTTATGTTTCAAGAGCTATCATTTTATTGTCTAAGACTCACATTATCTATCGATTACGTACCTAATTTTATGTTTTTTCCAGTTACTTTCATGTGGCGGCAACTGTAAAGGGTTAATCAATCATGGAGGTAGTCAGACTAAAAAATAGTAATCATTTTAAGCCTTGTGTGAAACATTTTTTTCGTTGGGAAATGTTAGAAGTTAGTTCTCAAAGATTGTCAGTGATAGGGTCTAAAGTAGGTCACATTGTTGCAGATATTTATCCCCCTCTAATTCTGGAAACCATACTGTTATCGTTTATTTATTTGATTTTAGCCCACTCATAATCTCTGTTGTTCGTTTAGTCATGTGATAGATTATTTTAGAGTTTCACGTTTGTTTTTGTATCATCAGTGTTAACTCCGATAATCTTTGGTTTTAAAAGTATCTACTTGTTATCTTACTGGCCTATGTATTTTCAGTGTGCTCATTTTGATCATAACGTTTGTACACACCCACATTTCAGGTTCATATCCTAATATGCATCCCATATACAACATTGTTTCGTTATGAATGGTGTGTTTATTCCCCTTTTAGTGGTTAGTTTTACCTCAGCATTATAATTAGGTATTATTTCTGTTATCCATGCAAAATCGACGAAATCCTTTGTTATTACATCAAATACATAAATTTATCGTATCTATTTAGAGCAGTTTTACTAATTCGAACAGTATCACAAATTCGCAATCCGTAAAATGTAAAATATGATCTTTCAACCTCCGTCTAGTTTCTCATTGTTCTCTGTCATTTAGCGTAACAGTCAGAATAAATAACCACGCTTAAAATCATCACATCAAGGTATTCACTTATGAATGAGTCTTAGTTCTTTGGTTATCGGGGTACACAGTACCCTGATAAACATGACTATTTTGAAATTGTGGTTTATTGTTTGTTTCGAAACACTTCCTTTTTATTTTTAGACTTCACTGTTAGGTCCTGTTTTTTTGTTGTCTTGCTTTGATTCTAGTTATTTACTCTTTACAATGCATGTTTTCAGGTCGCATTATATTGTATTCTGGGTAGAGACCACACATCACATCAAGAAGTCACCAAGTTGAAACCTAATTTTATACTACCAGTTCGCAAACAACTGTCGTTGATTATTCGATTTATTTCTTCAACTCTGGAATACCTAGAGTTTCTTTTTATGCCAAATAGCAGTGGTGAATCTCCTATTTATGGTGAAGCTCTACATACCCAGCTTATCTCACTCACTGATCGGAAGTTTCAAGGTGTTTTTTTTATTTTGTTATGGAATGAGCGTATAATGTTTTCTATGCTGTGATCGATTTATTACGGATGTCATGAAATTACTTGTGTAAGACCAATCGTAAATTAGCTGTTTCATCTATCCATGAGTTTTGATGCTCAATTTCCGAATCGTTTTAAACCTGAAACTGCTGTTGGTTTCTGTGTTATTCGACCTAGAATGATAGTTAATTGTTAAATTGTCTTAAAGCCAACATTCTATTTTTAGGCTTCACTTTATCACGTTAGTTCTCATTTGATATTTCTTTTCCGTATCTGTTCATCTACAGCGTACATTTTATTCAGTAGAGAGTTATGAACTCCATGCATGTTGAGCATAGGCGTACTAAACATCCTTTCGGTTACTAGTTACCTTGGTTAATTAACAACACGATATAGTCTATAGAATTAATTTGGGTTTTCGCAGCACATTTGTTTTCTAATAAGGATTCACTTAGGTGAAATATTTAGAAGCTTCCGTCATTATTTTGTGATAAGCGTGGTCCACTCAAATCGTAGTATTTAGCTTTGCACTGGCAGTGGCGTCAGTAAAACCAAATCATCGGTGCTCGTGGAATTTCTTTGACTGACTTGATAAATTGAAAGTCATTGGCAAAGTTTACCAACTGGCTAGTCGCGTTGAAGTAATCTAAATACTAGAAGGTGGAATTAAAAGACCATGGCATTTTCGAAAGAACGTATCGAAAATTTCTAATGGGCAAAACCTTCAAAAATCCTTGTGATTCTCATTTTATGTGAGATAATGCAGAATTCACTAAGATTCGTAGTCGTCAGAAAATTGAGAACCTTCTCAATTACTGAGAAGTTATGGTTATAAATGTCCGTCAAAGATTAGCAAACATCTGGTGCCTCACGACTCCCTGGATTGGTTCGGAGAGATCATACATCTCAATGGATTGAGACAGTAGTAGACATAGCTCAGAGTCGAAATCACTGGCGATCATGGTGCAGCTTTCTTTTTTTTCATAAATAAGTAAAACAAGAGTAACGTATGCTTCTTTAGATGTCTCAGACCGCTTCCTTAAAAACCCTTTGATAATTTTCTGTTATGTATAACGCTTTTATGTCTTCTTGGTGCCCGAATGAAGTGTAACGCACTCAGCTCCCTAATGCACAGCCGTGCAGTAAGCAGTGGGCCGCACCTTTTGTCTGGCTGCTAGTTATACTACCTGGCAGCTCAAACCTCGGTAGGTGGGGCAGGGTTCAAGCCCGTGACCCACCAGTTGGAAGTCATCTCCGTAAACCACAGCTGCAGCTTTTTGGTGCCTATGCTGTACCAAGCTTTTGTTTGAAGTCATTAATAGGAATTATTATTAAGGCGGACACCTCAGTAATAAATCAGAAATGGTCAGTTTCGTATGTCTCATTCTTTGGAATCTAGACATAAAAGGTTATGAACCTTACAAACTTAACAAATAGCTGAAAACAATCGTATAAAATCTAATTTAATTTCATAAATTTCATAATAAGATTCAATTCCTTCAGTTTTGCAAAATGTATACCTGGAAAATATCATTTAGATATTTATACGCTCATCAATATGATGATCACATAACGAGTCGTTCCAGGGTAGTACTAATTCTTAGTTGCACCAACCAGTTTTCTGTATGCACTTCTGTGTATCATGTTTAGAGGCAGACAACGTGTTATGATGGTTCGCGTGCTTGAAAGTATCACGACTGGAAGTAAAAATACTGTCCAAAATTCATCACCACTTTTGCATGCGGTGTTGTAAGACCTGGTGTGAAAAGAGAGGACATCGGATACTGAATTAAGTTTTTCAATTTGATCAAATAAAATGTTTTAATCTTTAAATTGCGAATTTCTTTGAAATTCAAGTCCCTTAGCCTTTCCATTCTTGTTCGCCATCATAATTGCAAGATTTCCATAATTTTGTAAGCTACCTGACTGCACTGTAACAAAGTATTTTTAAAAATCTATTTCAGACTCATCCACCTTCTCCAAAGACCGTCTTTATACACATTTGCCTAATGATGTGCTCAGTTTTAAGTTGAAGATGTGTAAATTTTCCAGCAATTTATCTCATTCCATACAAGAAGAAGGACACAGCATATTGGTAGATTTATTACATAAAAGTTGGAAAACTTGGCGTAATGAGTGAGTTTATTTTCTTTGATCAACTTTATGTGGGGTTTCCAAACCAGAGATCAAATTTCTTATATATTTGTAATAAAAGTATCGGTCCTAAATTGCATTAATTTATGTGTATTGTTGTAGTTTAAAATCCAATGAGGAAATCCCATTTTTGTCGGATATCCTCGCCTAAGAGCGGTATTCAACTGGTCTTATCCTGCTGATTGTATCCATTTAGCCTAAAAATGTGCATGATATGTATATTGAAATCAAGCAAACGTCTGTCTTTATCTATTCTGTTTTAGGGAAAGCTGTTGCAAGAGCTATTACTGCAGGTTATTTTCTCCCGTAGTATTAATTCGATATTGTTATGGACGCGCAACTGGCGTATCTCACTGCTTCTGACACCTCAATGATTGATTTTTTTCTCCAAGACTCATTAGTATTCGAGCACCAACACCATATAATCTACAAAACATATATTGGCCTTCTTCATTGCCTAAATATCCCGTCTAAATACGCAGAGGCCTACCAGTCGCTGAATAGATAGCTCAACAATGCCATCTTTTATTATATGACTGGGATATCTGCTAATTGTGAACAATATAAAAATCGAACAGATATTTGGTCTGTGTGTCTAAAGCATTACTGGTGTGTTACGTAAGTCGCTGAGGAAATAGTCTTTAAACGTTTCGATTGTTGAGAAAGGGATAAATCTAGTAGGTGGGTTTGCGAACCTGGATCATTTAAAGTGTCTGATTCATGCTCTACGGATAAATCTTAATGGTGTAAATCAGTATCACGTTGACTGGAGTGAAAGTAGGTGGATGATATCTTGGTAGTCACCACTATCTGATTTTTGAATTCTTGATCTGTCAGCTCTTTCAGTGCGGAACAAATTGTAGCCTTTGAAATGATGTTTAGAAGGCGATGAAAAAGCTTCGATGTTGTCGAGACTGACCTGTAGTTGTATTGCTTAATTTTAGAGCTATGGGTTGGTATTCACTTGACGCTACTTATTTCGTTCCATCTTACTTCAATCCAATACATTCTATCTATCTGTTCATCGTCCAAGACCTTACATTACTGATTCCTTGTTCTTTGCGTATTCCAGCTAAGAACTCTGCACTTTGCTATGAAATTAGATGGTTGTATGCTCTCACTTCCTTGTGCATCCATGTGTGGAGCGTTAACTGACTTTAAAGAAACAATCCGCTGTAACATAATTTCAAAGTTCAGTCCTATCCAGTCAATTGAAAGCGACTCTAGGATCAAGAAAAACATTGATTGTTGGCCTGAAGTGCGTGTGATTGTGTGTTAAGGATCTTCCTATTAGAGGACATAAGATCAATGCATCAACGACCTGAACCAAACTCTGTTCCTTAGAAATTAGTGTTTCCCATATTTCACTATCATAGTAGTTACTATTTTAGATGCAGTTGGCAACCGAATGAATTCGGTTATTGTCACATAGTAAAGATAATAACAGTAATAATGCAACTTATGTTTGTTTGGGGCTATGACCCGGACTTCTTATACAAGGTCCTATACTGCTTTGCCGCTGATAGCGATGTAGGTGAGGCGAAACTCAAACCTCAGGGTTCATTGCTTGAAAGTCGAGCTCCTCAGTCAATAGGTTGCATCTCCACATACAACATACAATTAAAAATGTCTCCATTCAGTAGTTATGGAACATGCTCAATCTGCGATATTTCAATTAATCCAATCAAATCTTTGACACTTATTCGCCTTGTTCCTTAAAGAGGAGAGAAAAACAATTTCATCTGCATATTGGTCCAAGTTGCCACACCTCGTATCAGCGCGTCAGGTAATGTACTAAGGTGAAAGATATAGAAATAAAAAAAACTGACAAAAGTGGTCGACAATCGTCAAAGGAGACCAAGGAGGAACAGAACGACACTGAAATGCAGTATGACGGTTAAGATGAAGGTAATATTTAATGCTTTTTTGCCATTGAGATCAATTCGGAACCGTATAACTTACAGTCGCCAACCATCGATTTCACTTGTCATTTAGGTCCCAGTCAGAAACTCTGCATTTTTCTACTTGACTCAAACCAACAGTCAGAGATTCGTTGACTACTCGTATGTACCAGTAAGCGTCAAGAAGTTACAAAAGACTTGTTGTATTCGTGAGTAAAATGTCCTTCGATAACTCAAGCGGCTTTATTTTCTATTTTCATGATATTTTGTGGGTGCAACCGGTGATCATTTTCACTTTCTGAAACGTCTGTAACTAGTTGTGAATCTAGCTTGGTTTGGTATTTATTTTCAACAGTGGGTGCAATGAATTTGCTTACGTCAACGTGTTGAAGGAAAATGATTCTGGTCATCTTCGAAACGTGAGGTCAGCTTAACACTCACTGATGCACGATTTTATTCCAATCATTTGTTCCAGAACTAATAGCAGTCCTGAGTACGTCTATGCCATTGGTAGCTAACCGTAATATGATCTATTTGAGTCTAGGACTGAGTTAAGAAGAGATCGTTGAGTATCAGTAGGTTATTTTAAATTAAGGGATACATATAAACGCATCACTTCAGGTTTCGTGCAAAATTATGAGCGGAAGCAACTCAAGTGTAAATTGATAATGAGTCTATGCAGTGATAGCGAACGGTGCACGTCACCGAAGGTTAAATAAATAGAAAAGGCAACAGAGACTTATGACAGTAAGCAGTTAGTTATTTAGGATGATCAAGGAAATAAGGGCGAAAAATTCAACGGTTAGTAAGATTTACGGGGAAACATGGATTTGTGGTTCACTCACTGTAGCAAAGATTGAGACAACGGGCAGAGCACTTCGACTTACAGTTTAACTGATCTCCAACTACTCTTAAGCTACCCATTATGCAGTCGGATCTCAAATAAGACGCTGTGATAGTCTCGTACTCTTACATAAGTTGAAAAGGTCTTACATAACCTGGAACAAGAAAAGATAGTAGGGCCAAATGAGCAAGTACCGGACGTATTCCAGCACTGTGTTAGAGGATTTTTGGTTGGATCCAGTAGTGTAAGTCACGCAGATATGGTCCTCTTTAAATGATCTGTCACTGATTATCCTAATCTTGAAGAAAGGAGGGAAGTCCTCTTGTGATAACCACAGAGGAATCAGCCTGAGGAACGTGGTGTCTGAGATTCTAGTTTCTATTATTATCACATCTGAATGGAGCTAGGTAACAAGAAGGCGGGAAAACTAGACTGGCTGTTGAACTTGTGCTTGTATCTACCAGATATTCACCCTCCACCAGGTTCTGGAACACAAGCACACTTGCTGACACCCGACACTATCTCTTTTCTTGTACTTCGTCGGTCGAGGGTTTTTGTGGTAGTGTCTCCATGAAAGGGCTGCTGGGTAAGTATATCACCTTGTTGAAGGTTCTGTACTCTAACACTCCTGGACGTTTCAAAAGCTATAGTGAGGTATCATATGAGTTGTATACGTCGAGTGGTGTTCGTCAAGAATGTCTATTCCCCTATTCTCACTCGGCTGTACCAGAGAAGTACTTATGGTGTTCTTTTTCTCATCCTCTGACTTCACGGTGATTAATCTTATCACAAGAGAATATCTGTTAGATCTAAAATACTCATACGAATGTTGAATGAAGATGCTGGCAAGATGTGGATAACTTGCGTGGCAATTTGAGAATGTTTAAAATGTGTTTCTCGCCACCTAAATGCACTTTGTCGCTCCAGGACTGGTCTTCACTGGCGCCTTGTCGAACAGTAAGGGGTGAAGTGGCTGAGCGCGTTGACCACTTTACTTACCTTGTAAATCAGACCAGTTGTGATGGGTCAGTGAGTGACCTAATCTTAGCAGGGATACATAATTCCCACTTCAGTTTTGACAACTTACGTCGGCATAACATGCGATTGTTTATTGAGGGTCGAGTGTATTGCGCTGCAGTTTGCTCTATTCTTTTATGTGACTGAAACACTGAACATAAGAACTCTTCAGGTGTCTGATCAACTTTTCCTTCGTAGCATAGGCTGCTTTTAGGGATGCGGTGTCAGTATTGTAGAGGTCAGGCGTTGCATTTTGAACAGAAAAGGTAAACCAGTTGATTAGGTTGTGAACCTTCATCGACTCAGGTGACTAAAATATGTTTTTTATATCCGGTGACTCTCTGTGTCATTGCACAATGTTAGCTAAAGTAGGTTGAGACTGAAAATGGTTAGAGGTGACTGGATTAAATCATAACATCTACCTATTAAGTTCCTGACTGTTGGCCTGAGCCTTGAATGGCAGTGTAGACATTCCAGTCCGGATCTGCGCGACATGGATGGCTGGAGACTAGGTGGTAAATTTCGGGATCGATCTCAATAGTACTACTGTATCCTAACCATCTTCACCTATTAATTTCATCATTATTTTATTTCCTCTTGACTTTCTACCACTTTTGACTACTTTCTTCCCTATTTATCTCTCTTTAATCTCAATGCATTCTTGCTTGATGTGCTGATATGTGATGTGGAAACTTGGACCGTTATCAATACTAGTTCTCATGTTGATCCTTACTGACTGACGGAATTCACAAGTAAGCGACAAAGTATCAGTTGCTACATTCGCATAGTTGCCAGGTATCAAAGTAGGTTTTTACATGACCTGTTCACTCCTAATCTCGGAGCTTGTCTGCACGATTAAGTTTATTACTTTACGCGGCTAGATCGAACCCATTAAATATCTCAGGATATTCACTTATGTTGTTTAAGTGTTATTGAAACATCTATGCTTTTGAAGGGAGTCACTTTGACATCAATGGTTAAGTCTATGACTTCATGGCTGTAGGAGTCCATTTCTTCATGGTGAGAGTAGGCTTTAAGCAGTATATCACACTGCAGCATTTAGAATGCAATCAGCAGTTGAATATTTTACTTGCATCACGAATAATATAAGTTTGGATTCTTTGCTGTTTACTTTCACGACCAGTTGTCCCATCCGTGTTCTGAATTCCTCCGCTAATATGTTAAGAATGGAATTTATACAAATTAGTGTGAGATTTAAAATATTTTCGTCGAATTGTATTTGAAATTATACACCCCACTTTACGAAATACTTATAATTGGATATTAAAGTATTGTTAGTATTCACTCTTTTTTTTTCAGAATTTGTATGCTACTAATCTTACTCTTTTCGGCGTGAGAAAGTGCTTTCGCAAGAAAACGCGTAGAATTAGTTGAAATAGATTACTTAGACAGGTTATGTCAGAGATTAGGCCTTCACGGTATGCCTTTTTATGCGTACTGTGACTTTTGTTTCTATGAGTTGCAAGTGAATTTCCCAGGGTATAACACTGTACATTTGTTAGTCATTGAATAATAACAACTTCATAACTCGCTAAAAAAGTTTACTGAACTTCTCTGCGCAAGAAGCACCTAATTATTCAAATACTTATCTGAGTGGCAAAAGCGTCTGATTTTCACCACACCACGAAAGTCGTATTGACACTACATGCCCATTCTATTCACTTTAGTTTGAAAGTGTTAGTGATATAGGCAGGCAAGTTTAGTTTGAAAGGCGGAACTCATTAAGTATATAAGTCCAACTAACTGGCTTACCTAAAGTGGTTGTGCTAGTTATTTTTAAAGAATGGGGATTGTCGGTAAACTGCACATCATGCGTTCATATTCTTCATACTATTGCATTTGATGTATCTGAAAAAAGCCTCAGAAAGTAGCATATACTGGTGAAGAAATATGAACAGTTACTTAAAGAACTAGTTATCTGTGCGAAATGTTGACATCATCTTTGCAGTGAACTCACGATCTAAAAGCTTTCACTGAATTCAACACGTTACTTGTCACCAATATACACTCATGCCAATAAAATACGGTATAACACTATTTTCTTTTACGATTCTGTTAAATTTAATTTCCAATCGTTTACTGTGGTTTGATCATTTGTTTATAGTGCGATTGAAGCTTGCCAGGGAGTACTTTCGGAGTCCTTATCTCATGTTTCTTGTTTCGAAACATTGGTTGATTTACGCACAGTCACATTGGCACTTGTACAAAGACTACAAACGCCCAGTTCATTAGTTACCAAAACAACTGATTATTTTACAGCTACACCTGACTTTAGACAATTCACGTTTGATATTTGGGCAGAATTGCTTAGTGACTTGTTTTTGCAGAGATTAAAGGTGAGCTTTATTTCACATTACCTGTACAAACTTAAAAATTATTTGTTTCCTTATGCTAACCTTTTCTCCTATTATTTACCACTTTAAACCCTAAAAATATAATAGTTTTCCTCATCTCAAAAACATTTAAAAAAAAATTATTTCAGGTACTGTTTACCGAAACTTTAGAAGACAGTTTCAATGATTGGATTACACAATTTGATGAACTATTAACGCTAAATTCAAGATTGACAGTTCAAAATGAAGATTTGGTACCGAAAACACAATTGATTAATAGAGTAAGTTGTTTTCCACCTTTAATGTTGACATTAAATGAGGGTGTCAGAATTTTTTAGGATGTTATAGTGTGTCCGTTCAAATCTTTGAAGGTGAAGCATTAGTGGATGAATTAAACATTAAAAAGCACTTAGTACACTGATTGTTAACTTCACTAGGATAAACTAACCAGACGTTTCTATCGATTATGCTCTTGAGTGGATCTTTAAAGCTCAATAAATTACTTCCTTTCAAGATAATCGTATTTCCTCTAAACGCTAAACTTACACTCATAGTCACTTCATCGTTGATAATTATTTCGTGGTTATCTACTAATATCTATATGTATGCGTTAGCTGCCCAGTATTACGCTCCTCGGTTGTGGAACATATACTGCAAATAAGCGGAGAAAACGAATATTAACTGTCACGGCGGGCGGAAATGCAGTCCTGCACTCATTGGTGAGAATAAATTGGCTTCTCTTTATGGTCTTTGGTATCATCTTTAAGTAGCTGTTTGATTTCCGATACACAGTTTTTGTAGTTCACATCTTTCGTATATAACTAACAGTTTATGATTTATGAGAAATGAAATATACCCCTAGTGTGCTGAGTTAACTGATCATAGCTTTGTTTTGATACTTATCTCCTTGCGTTTCGCGAACCACTAAAAGTTATCAAAGTTCTACTCACTCACTTCGATGACACATAGATCTGATGTATAGCATTCCGCGTTTTTCTCATTTTGGGATTCATCATATGTTTGCAAAAAATCAACTACAGAAAAAAATAAAAGCTTTCGGGATTCGTATAAAACGTAATATCCTCGTGATTCTATCTTGGTCATATTTCTAAGCTATATGCAGTTTATGAAATAGCGTAGGCATCTTTATTTTTTACTGAAGATCATCTGTCATCAATTTCTAACTCATCGGTTCTCCAACCTTTTTTGGAAATATGATCCCATGGTTCACTAGCTATTGTCGTAATGTCTCGCATTAAGTATGATTCATAGCCTTTTATATAAACACATGTACTGAGTCGAGCTGGATTGATTAAATTTACGTCCTTCAATACCTTACTCATTGTAGCAAGTTGCTTATATGGTGTATGTTGTTAGCTGAGAACCATTAGGTAGAGATACCTGATGTTCGACTATTTTTTCAATGGTTTACCAACTGATGTCAGTTCATGTTGAAAGTTATTCTTTTAAAAAAGCACGGTTCGCAAACCACCTAAGTGAGGAGATGGTTTACTTCTTAATAAACCTAGTCATATTCTATGTCCACTATGATCGTTCAGATTCTTCGGAGAAGCTCACTATTCTTTAAATCCTTCACACACAATCAAAATAAGTCGAAGTTTCAAGAAAAGACACGTATTTAAACGCGTTGATATTAGATTGGTCCAGGAACCAGAATCAATGGAGGACACCCTTATAGAAACGCCTGGCAATATCCAGGGCCATTGTAAATACATACGAAACGTCGTGTTTTTTACAAGCTTTGAAGATGCAATAAAACTGTGGTCTTAGCACCTTTTTATATAACAAAGAGTGGGATTTTAAGCTTGTTTTTTAGTGTCCCTATGTAAATATAATAAGATTGTACCAACTGGTTGAGCCATTCTCTTGATAAGATGAAGTTTACAGCTATGATTAACTTAGTTTCTACAAATGTGAAAATTCTAAATTTATCAAAGGCAGACATTATCCTAGCTTGTTACCGTTAAACGAAATCCAAACAGTGCTAAAGAGAATAAAAAAACTTTGTTACAAGCTCAGACTACACTGTACAGATTTAAGATTAATACTAGACATAACCAGACTTTTCAATAAGCTTAACAACTATTCTGCAGAATGATGAAAGAAGACAGTTTTCTTTTATTTTGTCGGAGAGAAGCATAGTTTTCTCCATCTTCAGGTATTTGCGGCAATATTCCTCTATATTTCGGAGATTTTATACTCGTATGACTCACTGAAAACGAATATATTTTTTAGTAATAATGGGTAGTGGATAGTAAGACTCGTCAATTGGATGTACCTGGCTCCCAGTGAGTGTTCCCACCGGGATTCAAACTCGGGACCGACCGCTTCAAACGATAACACTAGCGTTTGGAACATCCTGGATTCCACTGCTAGCCACTATCCATCATTACTGTACATAATTAAAACAGGCAATATCGAGGCATTTGCGCAGGAGCCCATATGCCAATAGAGACCGATCGATTCGATCCAATCACCGACGGTATAATATAAGCAATAATACTGAATATATTCTTTCTTGAGATTATAAAGAAGATTCGTAGCTCAAAATGAGAATGCTAATTGTCTTTTGTTTCTCGATCTATGAAGTTTGTTCATGGACATTTTATCACCGGGTTAGACGACTTCATCAGCATATACTTCATGTATAGAAGCGAAGCATTTTTGAGTTGTGTGAATGTTTATAAGGGATATTTGCCGATCTTGAGAGTTATTGGCTTGCGGGTAAGGATGACCTGTCATTTTTCATGAGAGGTTAACCCTTGTAATTGCTGTTATCGTATGATCTACTCTGTTGACCTAATGTATGGTTATTGATTTACTTGAGTGATTTCCAGTCGGTTGATCCTTTCTTAGTATTTGCTAAGTCGCTATTATTTTCCTCATTATTTTAGTCCTCTTTAAAGAATCCCGTAGAAGAGGGCCAGATTGATTGGGCCGATTTTGTGTGGTCAGATGGTATGCGGGATATAAATGTGAACAGTTCATCCATCATGAAAGATTCAGTTCTTTGTGAAGCTTCCAGCGGTAAAGAAAGCTTAACAGAATCAATTATTTCTTCGAAAAATGCTATTCTATCTCATTTAGTTCAGTCAAACAATGTAGGTTTAGCTGTGTTTTGTTGTCTTGCTTATACGCCGATTCCTAACTCGTTTTCATTGATGGCAAGTGAAAAGGAGCAGGATTTAACATCATCATCTCAATTATTAGTATTCCTGCAACGATTGGTCAGTGAGAATATATCCTCAGCATCAAACTGTACACATATATCCAGTTTTGGCAATACAGACTTGGAAAAAAAACTCCACATTTTATTGCCTGATTTACAGTCGTAAGTAATTGTTGTTGGTAGCCTTGTCATTCACTTATTTCTCGTAGTGGTTTGTTTTATGATATATCTGTCTTAATTAACTGCGAAGATTCGGCTCCAGTTTGAATAACAGGACCACCTTACAATTTACCTAAAAAATTACTTTCTCTGACATCTGGCAAATTGTATCTTAAATATGTGCTATACACATATTTTCAATCATTGTTTGCTTCATACTTATTGATCTGAAGAATGATAAAAAAATGTTTGCTCTGATATAAGTTGGACATCTCTACAATGGGATTCTGTAATTGGTAATGTTGTGATGAGGTTATCCTTACATTTTTCAGAATAAATTTCAAGAGTGATAAAGCATTCATTTATATATTGCAGTGCGCCTTTTAATTGCATTGGACACTGGCTTGTAATAGAATCGAGGAGGCACATTTAGTGCTTGTTGGACACCACATGTATCACTGTGGGATAATCAGTTCAGTTTTTAGAAATATCAACCCTAATAAAATTGAACACATTTTGAAAAGTCGGGTGCATACTAGTGTTTTGTTTGAAAAGATGCTGTGCTAACCTTTTTTGTGTAGGCACTATTTCACCATAACATAAGTACGTCCATCTGTTGAAACTCAAAAACTTTAACTTCGAATTCCTCCGTGCTGAGTACCAAATATTTTCATAATGTGACCAAAAGTAGTATCACCGTAATCTCACAATGTTCACGTACTAAATTAAGCTGACCGGCGTAGCTCCATAAACTAGGAACAAAAAAATACCCATAAAACGAAATCGCTGTACTATATCTGTTTGGCTATGTTTACCCATTAGTTGCATACTTTGCAGAAAAATACTGTACAAAATAGGTCTATAATGCAATGTTCTCATTTTGCATCAGAATCATTTATTCAATAAATGATTATTAATTTCGATCGTATATACAACTGTAGTTTGTTAGAATCAAGTTGTGAAGGTTGATTTACCTTTGGAGACAATAAATGCCGATCTCTGGGCTATTTTTAAAGATGCATTTGCATCAGATACCTGTCTTTATATTTGAACAGTTGATTCATGATACGTCGTGTCTGAATCTTTTACACAGACCCTATTTCGTAATACCAATAGATTTGATACGTAATGTAACTTTATCTATTTACTGAGTAATGTGGGAGGAGTTCAATCTGTTTAGGTCAAATCCACACCGTGACAGCATTACTTTTGAAAGTAACTAAACAGTTTTATAAGTTGAGCATTCGATTAAGTCTTCTTTTTGTTACAAATGTTGGATTGCCTAAAAATATAATTTTAGTGAATGATCTGTATTCTGTATGTTCTAGTTAGATGGATCGCATTTTCTCGAACTTCTGTTTACATTATACTTCTCCCACAGTATTATGATAGGTCATATTATGAATCTTATAGAATGCAGTTTAGCGATGGCTTACTGTCAAATAGTTGCAAGTAATAGTATTTACAGAACTGGATGATAGAATAGCCCAAATTTTACCTTTTTAATTGGTAGCATAGTCCACCATGAAATGTGCAACCTTTAGTAGGTGTCCTAAAGACAGACCATTACTCTGTACTAAGTAACTCTCCTTTATTAATTGTCTGTTGAGTTAGGCCATGGCTACATCTGTCATTCATCTCTGCTCAACCAGTCAAATTAATTCAAAAAGAAATAGCGAATGATCTGGTGTAACTGCATGTTCATCCACATAGTGGCACTTCACACCAGCAAAATAATATGAACACCAATAAATGAAAATATTAGGAAATCATAGCAATAGTATCACAAAAGGATATGATTTCATGCCGTACTCCGATTTGTATGGAGATAAGGCATAAATGCATCTACGCTACTACGTTTGATTTGAAGCCGTATCCTCTACATTTTCTAACCGTTGGTTTCAGTTCTTTCACAGACTCCAACTAGGGAATCTAAAGTTCTCTACATGGTTCAGACCAACAGTCAGAGGCTTCAAGAATTGATGTCTAGTTTTACTCCAGTTAACATTCATCATCTTGGTAGACAGTACTTCTTATGTGCCTAACGTGAGTCGCAACTAACTCAGCTAAAGATTCACAGCTCCACCAACTGATATCGTGTATGTTGGCTATCATCCCAAAATCGTTGGAATATCTCGTTATTCAGTTTCTATCCATATACTGCCTTTAGTTCTAACTTCATTGTTTGACAGTGAAGTGGAACTCAAATAGATATCATAATTATTTATCTGCATTAAGCTACACGTATTAACTCTTATCTAAAAAATTATAACTTACTGAATAGCGTGTGAGCGTGATCTTGTCATTTTAAACTGTACCATATCAAGATACGTGTTTAAAATCACTTTGTAGCCTTTCATGAAGACTAAAGGGTGTATGTGGTCCCATCTTTGCAGTAGAAGACGATTAAAATTATTCATAAATATCGCACATAAATGCATTGGTGAAGTGATTCATTGTGCTTGAGCATGTTCTATTTCTGTTGAATTTTTAGGTTATGCGAGAAACTAAACATGGATATTTCGAATCGTATTATTAAATTGACTTCAAATGTTGGTCGAGATTCCTTTGACATTTGGTCACTTGTTCTGTCAGCACTAGAGAAGTCACTAAAACGGTAAGGATTCGTTGCATGTTCTAAGTTTCATGATCTGACTGAATATTAGGTGGATGATTTAATTGGTTTCAACCCGGTTTTCACTATGATTAATATTTAAAACCAGCTACTGCTACTTTGACGTGGTAATTGGGTTTTCGTATCACGGTGATCCTCCAACAAGCTATGCTAGTAGGAACATTTTTTTCATTAGAGTCCCGCCATACCAGAAATTCTGTTGGATATTGGTGACACTGAAACAGTCCGTCATAGTCTAAATAGCTGACACTATTGCGGAGGTTTGACGACGATTTCTTACTGATGACTCTATTGTGTGTGGCAGCAGTAAGATATTTACCATGAATGAACAGCATTTCATTTAATACTACCTTGACTTAGCGAAAGCAGGAATTAGCTAAAGCTGACTTTGAAAATAGTACACTCCTCTCTGGTTTACTGTCTTTTGGTACCAACAATATAGGTTTATCTAGTTCAGCTGAAATACAGTCAATTCTAAATTAAAAGCCCTTCCAAAAAACTGTGTAAGAATGGCTTCAGTTATTTGTATTTTTTGCTCTACAGTCACACCATCATTAATAATCCACTTTATCTTTCGGAAGTGCCAACCACCCACATGCTTCCAGCAGCATGCAAAATCTATCTATCTGTAACCTACGCTCTTGTCTTTATCTCTTCCCTAACCTTCACCATCTGTTCTTGCCATCATCAGCTTTTTACTCTGCAACAATTTCTAATCATCCAAGTCAGCAAAACACCATTTTTGTCTCCTAAAGCTATGCTGCCTATTTTACACTGGAGCTCTCAACTTTAGAATCATATGCTAAATCGAGTGACATATTTTACTTGGCAAGACCCTAGTATCTCGGAACATGAGAGTATGTTCTTTCCGAAATATGCATACAGTGTGCTTACTCACTTCACTTCACCTGGCCAATGCGATTAATCTTTAAAGTTCAGTTTGCAGATTCAGGAGATTCAGTGACAAGTTCTCGTGAACTTCGCGGTGTAGGTATAGCGTTAAGTTCTCGAACAGAGAGCGGACTGCTCGACTGGATGATATTTGATAGCCATCTGTGTCCTGTCCAACAGAATGGGTTTGTAAGACCTGGAAGGGATCGTCACCCTCGCCGATACTTATTCATAGTCTCTTCTTACACGCCCACTGACTGCAGTTCCAGCGATGTCAAGGATGAGTTATACCAAAAGCAAGCATTGTGTCACTTGATGTTTGCCGACATCAAACAAACAGTGGACCTAGATAGATCATGTAGCTACCAGCGATGTATTTTGCTTTATACCTTCAAAGTATAAATTGCTTCCACAACATTGGAGGAGTTTGTGTCTGCACTCACCCTTCATGGTCAATCTCTGAACGTTTCCGAAACGTTTGCGTACCAGTGCGGTTATGTGAATGCCAATAGAGGTGTATTTGAAAAGATATTTCACCACATATCGGAACTCAGTGACCTACGCTAATCTGCGTCACCTTTGATGCTGTCGCGACGTTAACTTTGCTGTATGAGGTCAGATATACAAAAAATCATTGCAAGCAGTTCTGCTCTATGTGTGTGAAACCTGGCCGCTTCAAGCTGTTGGACAACTCTGCCTTTTCAGTCACTGTTGTCTCCACAGGACTGTTAGCATCCGGTGAAAACATCATATAAGAAATCTTGATGTGAGGCTGGGTGTATTTTAGCGCGATGGAGGCCGTTATCTATTAAGTGAAGTCATCTTCAAAGACAAGCTTTTGTAGCTTAGATATGTGCTACGAATGTCGTTCCGGTGACTCTCAAGTCCTTCACTGTTCACTAACTCAGGGACTATTGTGAAAAAGTGGAGGGGTGACCAATTGATGACTTGGCGCCATAGGATGAAAGATAGTCCTGATAGGTTAGCATCTGCAGGTCCATCATGAATCTGGATGAGATCCGATAGATCATGCAACTCAGTGGCTTGAGACAATGGCAGGTATGGTTCAGAATCGAAACCAGTGACAACCATGCTGCAGTTTTCCTGTTTCTCCCAATACTAATCAGTAAGCCGAAAGTACTGAGTGCTGCTTTGGAAATACTTTAAAACTGCTTCTTCAATAACCCACTCCCCTTTTTGTTTCTATTCTCTTCGTTTTCTGTATCTTCATGGTGTTGCTTTATTATCTTGTATGCTACATTTCTTGGTGCTCATGTCGTATCAAGTTTGTGTTGTAGTTACAGGTAACAGTAAAATTGTTATCGCCTGTCGTTAGAAGATTGCCACGCCTTTTATAGTGGCTTCTGGACCTTTGATCTGGCAGTTGAATGCTCCTTAATGGGTCCGGGAAACACAACAGTGAAACCTCTATATGCTCGACTGGAGGGTGACATAGTCAAGTGTGTGTAAAGAATGGAGATGGCGTAACGCTTACCTCAGCGTGGTAGCTATAAAGCAACCGATCGAGTGAAATCGTGTCCGAGATCCTACGATCCATATTCTTTCAACAACCAATTAGACATGGAGAACAAAAGATTCGAGAAAATCTGAATGAGGGCGCATCTGTCAGAGCCTAGCCCTTCAACAGGTTTTAGAACACCGATATACCTATCAACTTTCGACACTTGCTATGTTTATCGACCTGCGAGTTGCACTTGAGATTGTCGACCAAGAGGTGTTGTGGTAATCCTTATTTGTAAATGGAGTACCAAGCATTTAATACTTATTAAGACTCTGTACTGGAACTTAGCTGTTGAAAGACTTATGGAGAGTTTTAGTTAGACGTAATGACAACCAGTGGTGTCCTTCAAGGATAACTTGAAGTACGCAGAAGAAATAGTCTTTTCATGTGAAAACACTGACATGTTGCAATCTCTGAACGCCTTCAGTCGAAATCTGTGTTTGGTATGCATTTCGCAACTGTCAAATGTGAGGTTATGGTTCAGGACTGATTTGCACCTACTCCTTATGTACTGATCGGAAGTGAACTGGTAGATTAGCTTAACCACTTAACTTGACTACCTTATAGCCGCGCTTTAGTTACCCTGCATCCATCCAGAATTAAAGCGGGAAACATGCGATTGTCTTTCAATTCTTCTCAAAGTTGAGGGGTCTCTTTCAAACTTAAAACTATCTAAAACAGTATAACCTGATGGTTTGCCAACTGAAGCTCTTTAAGACGGATGTAGAAGGCTTAATGAAAGGGTAAATGAAGTAGTAGATAGTTTATACAAATCAGAAGTAGTCAAGTCAAGATGGCCTAGATATTCTAGGATTCTAACTCGCACAAAAAGAAAGAAGTCCTGATGTTATGGCCAACCACAAGGATGTCAGTTTGACTAACAACGTATCGAAGATCTTATGGTCTATAATCATCTGATGTATAACTTTATCTAGAGAAAGACATACTTGAGAAAAGTAGACAAGTTTCAAACCTCAATGAGAGTTCATCGATCAGATCTTAATTCGTAGATAGATTATGTAATTCAAGTGTAATTGTTGGATCCACATACTTGCCATATTTCCTGACAATTTGATGATATTTTGAGTCGTGTCTGAAGTAAGTGGCCTGAATATCTATCCTTTTTCCTGATCACCGCATACTTTGGCTCGCCATGCTAACCAAAATGGTAATATATATATATATATAACTTATGTCACAAATTATTTTTTATATGTGTGAACTAGGATTCACAGGAACCTAATTAATTTTAAAGAACAGACAATAACAATACGGAAATGCTAAATTATAAGTCCTCACAGAAGTTGTTCTTCTGATCATTCTTCGCACAGTTATTCATTAATTAATGTTGTCTTAGCCAATTAAATAACAAATTTTCTCTAATCATTATTGTCTTTGAGAGAATGAAATATCAAATCTATACTATCTCATCTGCACAGTAGATGACTTTTTGTAATTTCTTCTTGTCTTTTTCTGATCATAGTTTGTTTAAATGTGTTATTTATTTTTGTTTCTGTCCCATGGCATTTTACTACAGGTTAGCAAACTGGATAACAAACAAAGCCTATGGAAAGGAAATAATAAATAATGGTGACTGCCCAGATGTATCCCTACTCCTTAAAGTTAACCCATGCTGCGGCTTACTTCTTTCTCGTGCTTGGTATGCTTTAGTAGACTGTTGCCCGTCCATTATTGCCGCATCCATTGCTGCTATCGGACAAATTGAATCAGGTCGTACCATGAATGCTGGTTTAGGGAACTCCACCAATTCGACTAAGTCTACAGAGAATATTTCAACCATGTATGCCAATAACTTTGATATCATTTGCCTGCATTCTTTACTATCAAAAAACCATCTTATATTTGGCATTAATACTTTACTGATGATTGCTTTTACTATTGATATAGTCTCATGCTTAACCTCGGGTGATTTGAAATACATTGTATATGAAACTGAGATATCTGTTTCCCCTGGTCAAAGCTAGAAGAAAAGATGAACAGTTCTAAGTTCAGATTCTTTCTTAATTCAAAAGGGTTACCAAAGGTTTTAATAATTTATATGGCGTACCAGCTGTAAGGATGAGTCCAGGTAAATTCATTTGGTTGGACTTCGAAACTTGCAATAGACGACAAATGATCAAATATTGTTTTTAAATAATTCTCTAGACTCTATATAGCTTTATGAGGAAAATTTGTTCATTCTGAACACTTATTAACGGCGTGATAGTTATTTAACCATTTTCAAATATGAAAAGTTGGGAAAATGTTTATCTTATTTACAAAGCGAAATACAAATTCACGAAGTTTTTACTGTTCATAGATCCACCAAATTGTTCCCATCATTCGTTTTTAAAATCCTCCTACGTTCGATGTTAAAATATTCTCATAAGAATCACTTACTCAAACTCTCAGTGGTGATAGCGATGTTCAAACTAGTATATTTACATAGAAGTATCGTTTCAAATGACTGATGGGAATATCTCACTCCACTATGCTTCGATTATTGCCAAACACTATGAGCCATATTGGTATCCATTTACATAGGCGATTTAGTGTACGAATGGCTTTTAGTTGAGTTTGCCTGCTCCTTTGATACAGTATTAACAATGTGATCCCAAAGTTTTTCTTTCAAATTCCTTCTGACTGGATTTTTCTCTCAATTTCAAACATGCTTCTTGTACAAAAGAAATGTTATTATTAATACTAATATCCTTCTGAAGTTTGTACTGAAGATAGTGTCTGGAATGAAAGCTTCGTGACTAAACCACTCAGCTCAACTAACAACGCCTCCTGAGCTACAAATATTCTCCATCACCTCAATATTCACCAAGTAATACATTTCCGTGAGTGAACATTTCAGGGATTGATGACTCGAATATATTCACGGCCCAAGTGTGCTCCTAACACGTATTATTCTTTTATAATTGACTTTCATTCCTTGTTTTATTTATATTTCCAAAATGATTAATATCACCCACCCAATTCTCAAATTCATTCAAACCATAAAATCTCAGTCGGGTCTTATTCCTAAGGATCATTCTCAAATGTATGTAAAGTACTTCTGGTTAGGAAAAAGTGAATCAAATATATCTCATTTGACTATGCATTACCACTGTGAAGTCCCGTAGTAAGTAGGAATGCTTTTTCGTTAGATGTTTGTATTTGTCTGTGGTTAACGTCATACTTTTATGCAAAAATTCCTCTTGCCTATAACTGTTTTTGTTTTCTTAAATTTAAGAGAAGGTTTAGTGTGGACAAACATTTCATTGTTGCGTCGTGGGTGGGAATCATTGAGTCAACCCTTATTTGAATTGGTCAACCGAATCACACTTGATTCCCTGTTGAATGCCACAGTGAAAAATTCAGTTTTTGAAGAATTTAGTGACAATCTGCGTTTAATGACTTCAATTAGATTCAAAAAGACCGATAATGAATTTACAAATTGCACGAAACCAAACCTCTCTTTTAATGAAGACACAGTTGAAGGTCTTTTGCTGAAATATACCACTGTGGATGTAATGTTAAGGGGTATAGTGGTGAGTTAAAATTCTCCATTTTAAAATGAACTCATAATTCAACTTTTGTTTACTCGTGGAAGAATTTGTACTTTTTGCTTGACACAATACTTCGAACATAAGCTTCATACTTAAGGAGTTTAATTTATTAAGCGAGTTCGTAAGACTACATTACACTCGATGCTTAATTAGATGATGATTACGTATGAACTGCCCTACAAAAGTGCAAATTCAGTCAATATCAACATACTTTCTTTCTCCTTGGGTTCCTAGTGGAACATAGGGCTTCAGTAGAGCACGTCTCCATCGCACTCTGTTCTCTGCAGTCTTTTCAACCTGTCTCAACCACTGCCCAGAAGCTTTCATTTCTTCCTCACATGATCTCCTCTATATCACCCTCGCCACGGACGCCCAACTCGTCGTTTACCATGCGGGTCCCACTCGAGGACCTGGTCTGGTGTGTGGTGTCCCCCAAATGGTCTTCCTAGTATATGCTCCATCCAATCCATCTCCACTTTCTTCCGCTGCATATTTGTTGGGGGATGGGTTCTTGGTTGGTTCGTTGCCAGTTAGCCAAACTTCGTTGTTGCTTATTCTTATTATTCTGGCCATCTGATCTGATCTTCAGTATCGAGTGAGCATAGGCGTCAGCTGTTAATGATGTATGTCTGCAGTTTGTTGGAAATGCTTTCGTAGCGCGCCAAGTCTCTGAACTATCACATAGGAGCAGTTATTTGACTGAGATTAGTGTTGGAAATCCGGATCTTATTCTTTATGCTGAGTACAGTAGATCTCCAGACTGATTTCAGAATAATGGAAGTCTGTCTTTCTGATCGTGGCTTTGACGTCCTTATCTGTGCCTTTGCCACCTGTGGTTGAACCGATGCTGCCTTGGAAGGCAGGTGAAAGAGACTACTTCCTTTAGAATTCTCCCGTTGATGGTGATTGCTGCTTGTTGTTGTTGATTGAGTATTTTCATCACCTCTGTCTTCTCTACATTCACTTGAAGTCTCGTCTTCGCCGCCTCACCTCTTGTGCCAACTTGTCGGTTTTCGCTTGTAGATCATCGAGTTTGTGTGACAAGACATTAGACGTAAATCATCATCATCGGTGGCGAAATCCAAATCTTCTTCTGTGGTCTTTTCATCGGTCCAGCCACCGTATGCTGGTCTTCTTGCTCCTCACGGTTTGCTGCATGATCCAGTGCAGTTGACCATAATCAGGAAGATGATTGGTGATAGTAGGTGGTAACCTTGTCTTACTCCTGTCTTCACTTCAAAGGCGTCACTGAGCTTTCCATTGTGAATCACTTGTCATATGGCATCACATGGCATATAGCTGTTGAATGAGGTTGATGAAGGTTTGTGACACTGAAACCGTAGTGTTGAAGCAGCTGCCTGCCAAATAAATTGTTGGTCGACGCTGTTGAAGGCCTTTTGAAAATCGATGAAGTTGAGGTAGAGTTGAGTTGACTGTCATTCTATACTGTGTTCTATGATGATGATGACGATGCGTAGCTCAGGGTAGCGTTGCAATTTGCTCGGGACATGATTTGTTCTTTCTGAAGCCAGCCAGCCAGCTGGCCGGCCTGTTCCGGTTGTAATTTTGAATCCAGAGCCCTCTTTAATCTCTTCAGGATGATGCGGCTTAATATTTTGCTTGCTTTGGGTGGACAGCAGCATGATTCCGCGTCAGTCCTTGCAAAGACTAAGGTCTCCCCTCCCCAAGTAGCTCTTCTTCCAATCGTCAGGTACCTTTTCTTCATTCGAAAGCTTCTGGAGTTGTGGTGTGAGCATGTCCGCTGCTGATGTCTCTGCATCTGTTTTCACTGCTTCTGTTGGAATTCCATCTGGTCCTGCTGCTTTTCCGGATCCCAGCAATTTTATGGCATTCAGGACTTCTGCTTATGTCGGAGGGCCTGCGTTCACTGGTAGTTCTGCCGTTGCTTGTGTTATTTGTGGACGAGTTGCAGGTGGTGGTCGATTCAAGAGCTTTTTGAACTGGTCAGCCCATTGTTTTCTTTGTTTCTCCTCTTTGGCAACTAGCTTTCCTTCACTATCATTGGTTTCGTCTGCGTTGATCTCTCCCCTCCCAGGTAGTAATTTTGTTATTTGATGTAATGTTGTCAGGTCTCTGTTTCTCCTACGAGCAACCTGTTCTGCTTCGCTTGCTAACGTGTTGTAGAAGTATCTTTTGTCTTTTCGTGCACTCTTCTTCACTTCTTTGTCCAGTGTAGTGTTTTATAGGTTGCATTCAGTTCCTATTTTCGTTATTCTTCCCTGCAGTGCAGTGCACTTCTTCATCTGCATTCATCCACATTCCTCTCCACTATCAGCTTCCATGTATCCGTCGAGATCCATTTCTTTTCTTCCCTCTTTCTTCTTCCTAAAACGGTTATGCAGGTCTCCTTCCACGTCTCCTTCAAAGAGTTCCAGTATTCCTCCACGCCCGATCCTTCAGGGATGTTGCTCAATATCTCCCGTTTTGTCCTGATTACTGGCTGACTTGAAGATGTCCTTAGTAGTTTCATCCTTCAGTTCAGTTTCTGTTCTGTGTGTTGAACGTGGTGTGGTCTATCACCAACTTCTTTGAAGGCTTCCAACTTGATTTTGAAGGTTCGTTGCACTGGATAGATAGTGAGTGGTGTGAACCTCCATCTACTCCCCTTCTTAATGTGATCTTGTATCCAGTAGGCTGCGTCTCCACTCTCCTCACATTGAGATGAAGTCGATCTGGTGAAGTCCATGTCGCTGCCTTATGAATATTCTTGTGTTTGTACACAGTGTCTCCAATCACCGAATCGTTGAATGTGCAAAAGTTTGCAAACTGTTCTCCATTCTCATTCACCATTTCACCGAGTGCTTCTCTACCCATGATGAGTTCTCTTCCTGTATTGTCCGCTCCCAGTTTGACATTCGAGTCGCCCCACCTATTGGAAATTTGAAGTTGCCAACTGGAGTCTTGTACAGTGTTGGTTGCAGTTGTCTGTAGAATTCCTCCTTCTTCTCTTGATCTGCATTATTTGTAGGTGGGTAGCGTAGCATTGCATGCTTGTGACTTTCCTTCCTTCTGAGTTGAATCTTGCTGTCATGATGCTGATCCTGCAGGAGGAGAATGGTTGCCACTGCATGAGAGAGAGAGAGAGAGATAGCCTTTGATGCTGTTTGGAGTGGGACATCATGATATCCACTCGAAAACTCAGTGTGCTCGTGGTTGTCGTCTGGGTGACTATATCGGAGTAGATTATTGACTCTCTAGTTGACAGTTTGGAGAGTCCACTTGCATTCCATCTGCATATCCCTTGCAGATTCCCTTCACTTCAACGCTATACCTTCTCATCTTTTTTGCAATCTGGGTAGCCTTGGTAGTTTCATACATGGTGTGGACATTCCATGTTCACATGTTTAGTTTCGCTCTTGTCGCGAGAGAGAGAGAGAGAAGACATCGGCGAATTGTCTTCCCGAAGGCTTTCACCAACCGGCGTCATTTCGTCTCTCTGATTCCGGAGAGGAATAAGTTTATTTTTATTTTTTTTAATCTTTTCTTTGTGCTTAGAAGTTTGTTTAGCTGTTGGAGTGGTTTTGGGGGATAGGGTTGCTAGCCTTATGCCCAAGCTTCTTTCCTTATCCTGAGTTAGGACGGTGTAGTAACTAGTGAGCTGGTTAACTAGGTGAGGTTAGGCATATCATATCAGGACAACAAGTAGCCAGCATGAGGAAAAACACTTCGATCAGAAGCAGTAGGATGCTGTAAAAGAGAGGATGGATGAATGAGAAAGTGTATGATTCAGTACAGCAGTTAAGATGAAGATAAAGTATTGGTATATCTGCGCATTTGACTTCGGTTCTGAGCCATATCACTTAAAGTCTCCAACCACTTGTTTTGGTTGTCGCGTGGACTTTAATCGACTTGTCTGCATCTCCCAACATGATTCACAACAACAGTCAAAATTTTCATGACGTGATCTTATGTTTTAGTCTGACCGTGTCGAACCTTTTTCCAGCCTGAACCCACTTCAGCTAACATTGTACGACAAGGTAGACGGTGGTTAAACGTGCTTAATACATGTCTCAGCCATTTCAGTCGATAAAGGTTCACAACTGCATCAACTGTCTTACGTCTCCTGTCTAAAACTATGCACCTGACTTCTGCTTTGCTGACTTGGTGACACCACGACACGGCCTGTGCTGCGAAAGCAACCGTGGTCAAACGCCAGGAGCCTTCTCATTTCACTACGCCTAATGACTAAATTTCATTGCCATACAGTAGAATGGAGCGAACTGCAGCATAGTGCACTCGACCCTTAATAGGCAGTCGGGTGTCGCAGTGGCTCCACAAACGCCGTAAGCTGGCGAAAGCCAATCTAGTCTTTTATATCCATGCATAGATTTCGTCGGTCGCTGACCCACCACGGTTGGTTCGTCTTCCCAAGTAAGTGAATTTGTAGACGGGCTCATCCATGTCATTCCCTGTTATTAGCCGAGACACCATCAAATACCTTTCATGGCGCAACGATTTCCATTTGAGTCACGAGCAACGCATCCCAAACGTTCTCACGTTCCCATCCAAGTTGTTCACAGGACTACATCTTGTAAGCGTCTTCATCTATCAGGACTATGTCATCTGCGTATTCTAGATCTACCAAGGATTCTCCTGTATTATTATTATGGGTCGCTTGGGTTCCTAGTGGAACAGGGCTTCAGTAGCACGTCTCCATTGCACTCTGTTCTCTGCAGTCTTTCAACCTGGCTCCACCACTGTCCAGAAGCTTTCATTTCTTCCTCATATGATTTCCTCCATATCACTCTCGCCACGGACGCCCAACTCGCCATTTTCCATCCGCAATTCTCCTGTAATTAGATCTATTCCTTAGATGTCAGATGGTGGGCGGGAAACCTTCATAAAAATATCTATGACAAAGCTTAACAGAAATTGAGGTGGGCATCCTTGATGGACATCACTGACTTATACAATGAACGTGAAGAAAATTGGCGACAAAACCACTACGAGTGCTGCTGGACAACGAAAACACCAAAGCCGTGTTCAGTGAAAAGCTGGCTAGGCAGCTATCGGAACAGAAGAAGCTTGGTGCCATCTCCAGTCTGCTGTAAAAGCAGCGCTGAAGACCGTAGCCGACTTCGAAATAGTGGCTAGAAGGAGCCAATGGATATCAGCAGCTTCTTCCGAACTAGTGGATACATGTGAACGCATCCCTGCAGGCTCTGAGTGCAATGAAGAGCGAGCGCAACTAAAACGTAGAGTGAGAAAAAGTCTACGCAACAACCGCAAACAGTGGTGGGGAGCGAAGGCTAAAGAGATGGAAAAGGCGGCGGCGGTTGGTAACAGTAGATACAGATTTGGACTTATTAAAGAAACTGGGGCGAAAAGGTCAACAACAGTTAGTGAGACTATAGGAGAGAAGGATGGATCTGAGATTCACTCGCAGAGGTGACGACTGGAACGATGGGCAGAAGACTTCGAGGAGCAGTTTACCTGGCCTCCAGCTACCATTGCATTGCCCGCTATCCAGTCGGATCCTGAATGGGACATAGAGATAGGCCCCCCAACACTAGAAGGAGTCGAGAAAGCTGTAGGTAACATGAAACGAGGAACGGCGGCAGGACCAGACGGACTACCTGCTGACGTATACAAGGATGATGGTGCAGTGCTCTTAGTCAGGTTAACGGGAGTATTAACCAGTATGTGGGAATCAAATACGATCCCCTCTGACTGGTCTAAGTCACTGATTATCCCAATCATCGAGAAAGGCAAGAAGCCCTCTTGTGATGACCACAGAGGAATCAGCTTGACCAACAAAGTGTCCAAGACACCATAATTCTTCGACGTCTGAGTAGAGCTCGGGAACAACAAGCCCGATAAAACCAGGCAGGCAGACTTTAGACCTGGCCGCGGATGTATCGACCAAATATTCACACTATGCCAGGCTTTTGAACACAGACACGCTTACCGACACCCGACACTGGCTGTATTTCTCGACCTGAGGGCGGCGGCATTCGACTCCGTTGATCGAGAAGTCTTATGGCAATGTTTCTCACTAAAAGGCATACTGAGTAAGTACATGACTTTATTGAAGGCTCTCTACTCGAACACTTGTGGGTGTGTTGGAGCCTATAGTGAGATGTCCAGGGAGCTATGCTCATCGACTGGTGTCCGTCAAGGGTGCTCACTCTCTCCATTCTGATTCAATTTTATCATAGATATTCTCGTGGAGGTTTCCCTCTCGTCGCCTGATTACACAGACGTTGACCTAATCGCAGGAGAATTTTCGTTAGACCTAGAATATGCAGATGACATAGTCCTGTTAGGTGATGATGCTGACGAGATGTAGAGTCTTTTGAACACTTCGAGTGTCAATTTGAGAATGTTCGGAGTGCGTTTCTGACCACCGGAATGCAAATTGTTGCTCCAGGATTGATCTTCAACAGTGCCACGGCTAACAATAGAGAGTGAAGTGATTGAGTGTGTTGACCACTTCACTTACCTGGGAAGTAGGATCAGCCCTGGTGGCTCAGTGACCGACGAAATCTCTGCACGGATACAAAAGGCTCGATTGGCTTTCGCCAACTTACGTCACTTATGGCGCCGCCGGGGTATTAAGGGTCGCATGTACTGCACAACAGTCCGCTCTGTTCTACTGTATGACTGTGAAACATGGCCATTGGAGGTGGAAGACATGAGAAGGCTCCAGGTGTTTGACCACCGTTGTCTTCGTAGTATAGGCCGTATTCCATGATGTCACTACGTGAGTGACGCAGAAGTCAGGTGCAGAGTTTTAAGGAGTAGAGGTAAGTCGGTTGACGAGGTTGTGAACCTTCATCGATTGATGGTTGGGTCATGTGTTACTTATGCCTAGTCACCGATTGCCTCGTCACACAATGTTGGCTGAAGTAGGTCCAGGCTGGAAAAAGGCTCGAGGTGCCCAGACTAAAACATGGCACTAATGTATGAAGTCTTTGACTGTTGGTTTGAGTCATGTGGAGCGATGTAGATTAACTGGTTGGGGTCCACGGGATAAGAGGAACCAGTGGTTGGAGACTCTAGGTGATATGGCTGAGAACCGATGTATACATACATTATCCTCATCTTAACGACACTATACCGAATCTTACCATTTTCTTATTCTTCGTTTCTCTGTTTTTGTACTTTGTATTTCTTCTGAATGAATTTTCTTATCTTCATTTTGCGCCTCACTGCCTTTTTACATGATGTACTGATATGAGGTGTCGCAACTCAGACGTTACGCAGTAAAGTTTGGTCCTATGTTGATTTCCACGGTATGATGATGATGACAACTCACCATAGCCTCTGACCCCCACTGGTGCTTGAGTACAGAGCTTTTAACATAGTAATGTATTTATTCGGTACCCTTTTCAGTGAGAAACTCTACTATAAAGACCTCTCGATCGATGGAGTTGAGAAACACAACTAGTGTCGGGCATCTGTAAGTGTGCCTGATTAGGAACATGGTGTAGTGTGAATATCTGTTCGATTCACCAATGGCTAAGTCTGAAGGTTTCCTAGTTTCCCCCATTTTTCTTCTTCCAACCTCCACTCAGACGTCTGATGATTATTAGAACTAGAATCTTAGATACTTCATTCGTCAAGCTGACTCCCCTGTAATTATTACAAGAGCACTTTTCACCTTTCTTTAAGTCTGGGAAAATAAGTTATTGAGACCAGTCAGAGGAGATCGTGTCTGACTCCCAAACACTAGTTTCACCTCAGTCGACTTGACTAAAAACGAAACCCATCCTTCTGAGTCGTCTCACTAACCACTGACTTTTTCTCTCCAGTCTGAGTGACCAGATGCTTTTAGAGTTTCTGATTGTTGTTTTGAGACGTGTTGGGATAGTTGTAGACGTCCTGGCTGGGGTTCCTTGAGACGATGGGAATCGGTGGTTGGGGACTCTCGATGACGTGGCTTAAAATATAGATATTTAAAATAGGGAAATAACCCAATGATTGCAAAATAAATTTGTATTGCATCAATAAGAGGATCTATATAGACCAACTAATCCCTTACTATGGTCATGGGTATTCATATCCATCAAGATTTCTAGCCAGTTATTTAGCTTATGATCGATAGTATTCTCCTTGGATGTTCTTCTTACTTTTGGAGAGTAATCTCTCTTTCTGCCTAAGGGGACACAACTTTGAAAATTAATAAACCCCCTGTTCTAAGTGGGTTTTCTGTAAATAGATTGAAAAATAACAATAATTGATGTAGTTACTAATTGGGAATCTAAACTATAAGTTGAATTGTCATTTTGTTGATTAGAAGTGCCGTTATAACACATCGCTGAAAACCAACTCCACTGATACGAACGCGTTCATCATCTTGTTTACCTTTATCTTCTCTTTTCTTATTCTGTTTCTTGTTAAAGTCATATTTTCATCACTGAAAGTGTTAATCACCGTGACAATAGATCAATAAATAATCTCCACTTTCATAATATTTAGATTTATCCCCTATACCTAAGACTGACTGGTGATGATGAAAGTGGTTCATCTGTTGTGTTTAATTTTATGAACTAAAGTTATCTTACACACACTACGTTATTGACTGATTAAACTGAGATGATTATGGCAATAATTTTTGCTCGAAACGTCATCAAGTAAATAATACTGTACCACTGCATGTTATAAATCAAATAAATTATCATACATTCACATATGAGATGACATTAAACAAAGTCAGTAAATTCTTGATGGATTTTTCGAGTTGTTATTCAAATCAATTATTAGGAATTTATGTCGTATTACAATCTAGAGAATGAATCTATTTTTTCAGCCTTTTGAGGAAGTTCAGTTGGAATTGGATTCTTCACAAGCAACGGAAGACATGGATACTAGTTTAGCAGCTGTCATACACGTACCTTCACAACTTTCACTACCAATGCATCAAATGCTTCTCAACATTGTTTATGTAATGGAAAAACTTCTTGTGCATAGACCACTTCAGTAAGTTTTCTGTAATATCAGGTTTTATTCTGCTGTCCTATTTTGATATTATATATATATATATATATATATATATGTACCAACCTGATCTAAAACGTCATGAACGACATCACATTCGCATTACAGGGGTCTAACAACAAGCTGCGACTCCTGGATATCCTATTCAGTAGAGGCAATGTCAGAAAACTGGAGACTCAAATGTACAGAAAATCAACATACATTCATCAACTTTTCAATTACAGTAGCAACAACCTAGCAAAGCGCAAAATTAACTGCGTACACTATTCAAAGAGCAAGAACACACCTCAGTACTACAATTTTACTTAGGAAAGAAGAAAACTATTTGGTGTCTGTCCTAAAGAAGAACGTTTACCCATGAAACTTCTTCGGATGCCTATCCATTCCATCACCAACTATAAAGTCATCCACGGAAATCGGCAAATGGATCATCCTACCATACATAAGGAATATATCAGAAACCATGACAAGATTACTTGAACCATTTGGAATTGGTGTGGCGCATAAACCAATAAATTTACTTCAGACCATACATATTATGCAAGCCAAAGGATGAAACAGCCAAGGAAGACAAACAAAACATCATGTGCAAAATCAACTGCGATCAGCACGACATTAGGCAAAGTGGTCGCTCCAGCTGCTTCCGTTTACATGAACATCAGTTGGCTAACAAACGTCACGACGTTTTGTCGCTCAATGGATGTAGACATAAATTCGACCTTGAAAATATAATGGAAAGAGGAAACACAAAGAATACCGGAGAATATTGAACCCTTGGAGCAATCGTTCTTCGCTTCGAGTCTTAATGGGAACTTCAACCATCAGGAGGCAGATACATCTGGCTGACGCATTTCGAATAGGATAAAAAACACCTTGACTTCACTGGTAGCCACCATCCTTCAATACCAGGGAATTCCTAGAAGCTTGGCATTTCGGTCAGTCAGCAATCAGTAGGTGCATAAACACAGACCCAATCTACTAACCAATAAGAGAATCAACCAAAAAGTCACAAGTCAGGTGAAGAAAACGGTCAGTAGAAAAACCTATACAGTTAGTAACACGACAAATAATGTAAACTACCAATCACAAACCACTTCGTCGTGGCAAGCTACTGAAACACCCACGGAGAAATCCTAGTAGCTCATTTCATATTGAAGTTGGAACTGATGTTGTCTGGAAGTACAGTGAAGGCTTCAGAATTAGGCCACTCAATTCAGGGAACGCAAAAAACCAAACTTTTTGAGATGCACCTTGCTAGTAATTCTTGACAACCACGGAACATTTTTTCATGGTTCCATATCGGTTGATTCAAAATATCTAACGTCAAGTTATAATTAGTTTCACTTATATAAGTCTCAGCACAGCAGACTCGGTCTGTAGACTTTGAGCAGCATCCAACTACATCGGTTATCGTCATATGACCAACATACGTAAAGATAAATATTTTGTTTATTTCATGTACCTAAGTTTGCATTTTCGGAAACATTTTTTCTATACCATGAATCGTTTGTCTACTGTAATCCTCAGGGACGAATTTTATCAAGCTGTATCTGAAAGCAATATAAAATATTTCCAAAAAAGTCATGTATCAACAAAGGGAGTTATTTTACTTCAGTAGATTTCTGAAAGAGAAAGTAAGCACTATTTAAACGATTAGCAACCATAATGCTAGATATACCTGTTTCAACACCATTTAAAGTACGGTCGACTTCGGACAAAAAAGCGAGATGTATACATTTTCTTTAGATTCTACTTTTATAATTATAATCGAAAACTGTAATTTGGCTAAATAAGGCATCCATTTACCGATGCTTCATAAAGTAGAAAACAGATTTTTATTCTGTTACCAACTATTTCCCCTAACAATCAGCTCTAAAAAAGTAACTATCCACACAACACTTGCTGTTCAAAGGATACAACGACTGTCCACATTGTTGTGAGTCAACAAAATTCTAAGAAATCCACACCGAGGAAGTGCACCACAGAAAACGAACTAATACCAAAGGTATATAAGGACGGTGAGTGCAGATTATTGGTCACGTTACCTAGTATATGTGAGTCGGATATGATACCATCTGATTGGTCTCACTCACCGAATAACCCAGTCCCCAAGAGAGGGGACAAATCCTCTTGTGATCACCACAGGGATATCAACCTGACGAACACTGCCTAAGATTCTAGGTTCTATGATTATCACACATCTGACTGGAGCTCAGAAATATCAAAGCCAAGAAACGTTGGCAGGTTTCGAACTTGGCCGTGCGTTAATCGATTAAATGTTCACCCTTCAACACCAGGTTCTGGAACACAGGCAAACTTGCCAATGCACAACACTAGCTGTATTTCTCAACCTGGAGCCGGCATTTAACTCCATTGATCAAGTGTATTCATAACAGTATCACTGAAAGGGTTTCTGGGTAAGGTACATTACCCTAGTGAAGACTCTGTATTCGAACACCCGTGGGCGTGGTAAGGGCTATGAGGAGATATCAGATGAGTTGCGATTGATCTTGTCACAAGAAAAATCTTGATAGATCCAAATCGCGTACATGATATAGTCCTATTGAGTAAAGACGCTAATAAGATGCTGAGTCTTGTTGCAATTTGAGATTGTTTGGGTACGTTGCTCGCCACCCAAATGTAAATTGTCGCTGCAGGACTGGTCCTCAGTGTACCCCGTCTAACAATAAGGAAGGAAGTGTCTGAGCGCGTTGACCACTTCCCTCACCTTGTAAATAGGATCAGCTAGGAATCGCACGACTCACTGTATGAGTGAAGTGAGCATACGAGACTGGGCACCTATATTCGAGACCAGTTACGTTCGAGATCAGCGTTAATACTGAATAAGCAGAATCACGTGCTTAGGTCAATTGCAGTCAGAAAAAGATGTAGCAAATTGTCGACCAGGTTAACTCAAGGATATGGCATTCAGAAAGCCTAGTGAGAATCCGCCTTATTATACGACGTTGACTAAAGTAGGTTGAAGCTGGAAGACGGTTAGAAGCTGCCAGACTGAAGCTTATCATCTGCTCATGATGTCTCAGACATTTGTTTTGAACCATGTAGGGAAATATAGACTTCCCGCTTGGTGTCTGCATGACAACAGGAGCCGGTGATTGGAGACTCTAGGTTTCATCGCTCTGAGTCGATCTCAGTTACCCAGATATATCCACACATTATCTTTATCTCAATTGTCATGCTGAATTCTGTATTTTCTCATTCCTACTTGGTCTCTTTTGATGACATCCTACCACTTTTTACTCCTCCATTCTCTGTTTCTTTACCTCTGATGTTGGTGCATTCTCGCTTGACATTAGGTGTGGCAACTTGAACCATTACTCAGTAATACCTAGTCGTGTGTTGTTAGCATCTGTCCATCTTGCTGAAGTATTCTCATTTTAAGGTGTGCGTTCAATAATACTACCCAGGACAACTAATTTCATTTATATTGTCACTAGTATTTTTTTCTTTGTGACTCCTCATAAACGTTATGCGCTACTTCTCGTTGCTCGTTATCATCCAAATGATTTATGCACCTAAGCTATTTGCGTTTTTTGCTGTAACTCGCAAAAGACGTAAAAATTTGATATAATTTGCCTAATGTATTGTTTTTGTGACCTATCATTGTGTCCCTTATACTGCTATAACAGTCTCTATTAACAAAGCAAGGTTTTCATGTCCTTTGGAAATTTTGTTGAACTGTTTTCATATTTGCTGAGATTGATGGAACTATGCTACTCTTCTATGAGATGCTGCAGTATCGTAATATTCTGTATCTACAACTGAGACTGGTGTACAACGACTCCGTTTTTGTAGTATGACTCCTACTAAGAATGAGAAGCATCAGCTAGAATTTGCATCGTATCAACTTTCAAGCAAAATATACTATTCACTATGAAGTACATTCATACTTTTCTTTTCCTGCCAACTATAGACCACCGTATAATCACATATTTCTGTCCAAAGTATGTACCTGCTTTCTCGATGTTTATTCCACTGTTGTTGATGAATTATTCTCACAACGTGATATTTCTGATCAACATTCAGATGACTCATCTTTGTGGTTATCTGATTCGTTACAAAAATTGATACAAACTCGAGCTTTACAAATTATCTTCGATTTGAAATTTCTTCAACGTTTACTCGTTTCATCTGTTTTTGTTAGTGAAGCCAATCTTTTTCAGGTTAGTTGATCAATTTTAACGATAGTCACCAATGATACTATTTTTGTGTTTGTTTCGTATTCTTCTATACTCATGAGATATATTCTCTGTGTTTTTATTGATCACATACTCCTGCATTGATCTACTACCTTTAATGGGTTGAAACTCCTCTTTGTCTACTTCATCCGGAGCAGCCAGATCGTAAGCTTTCATGCACGAAGACCAGTACATGAACGTCTATGTCACGTTTAGTTCCAGTTGTCTAATTATACTATTGAAAACTGGATTAAGTAGTTTTACTTTTTCACAGGAAAAGGAATATATCAGTTTGTAAATGTTTTTCATCATTATATTGTAGGGGTGCGTGTTACAATTCCGTAACGTTTGATCAACCCTACTTAACTTGATGTGCTCTAGTACCTGCTTAACCAGTACTTTACCTAACAAAACTCAAACCAAAAGAACTGATACGGGAATATATTTGAAGAAGCAATGTATTTAATTAAAGTAAATGTAACAGTAATGGATGGGGGAAAATTTTAATCAACTTATCTGGCTTGTAAGGCTGAGCTATGGACTCTGAGTATGTGTGTGGTAACCAAGCGCTAAGGGAGAGCAAAATGGCGTCCAAACCTGCTCGGATGCATGCTCGTTAAAACAAGACTTAAAACACACAAAGCATCCGGAGGCGAGCTAAAGGTTTATTTAGTTAATTTAATCTATTTATTTTAGCCCTAGTTGTATTTTGGTGCCAGGAAGGTGCACTACAATATCATCAACATTGTCAAGTTTAAATTCCTTGTTTAAAAGATAAGTTATCTCAGGGAATATGTCATATAAATATGCTTTTGGAATTGTACTAAATTCTCATCTACATGCATTGGAACATAGACTGTCTATTTTAAAATTCAATTTAATTACCTGTCGAGTTGACAAATTGATGAAAACAAATTAAATGTAGAATTGTGTTTTTACTGTCACAATAACATTGATGGAGTAATCAATAAAGGTGATTTAAATAATCTTTCTTGATATTACAGTTGAATAAAATTGTCGCACAGTAGACTTTCTGAGAGATAATCAACGTTTCCAGCAAAGGAGCAACATACTGGCCAAATAAATATGTATCAGATGAACTTTTCCGTTTCAGTATTTGCGACCAATATCCATATATTTTGCTCAATTTCCCCCCTCTATTCCTTATTTCTTCAGACCATGCAGTGACTCATATTGTATAGTTCTCTTTAAAACTTATGAGAGAAAGAAAAGCAAGTGCCAAACACTATTTTCAAAGTTTATTTACCACTTACCTAATTACACCAACTGTACTACCGGTAATATATCCGATTGCAAATCAAAGAGCGAGCATATTGCGCATCACTATACTCTGTCCCGCTACATCCTTGTGAGACATTATCTCTGATGATAAATACACGTGTCGCCTCACAGTTATTTGATAAGTATCTTCACAGAATTGCGAAGTCATAGACTGTGATTAATGTTGTGGTTAAGCTTACAGTACCAGAAAAACATGGTAATTCAGTCTATCTTGTTGTCAGCATGCTATGTCTGGGTTGTGTGGAAACTATTATGCTTGCTGAGCTACTGTCTTTAAAGCAGGATTGGTTGTCACAAGGATAAGGACTATTGGATTAATGTATCACACCGGTTCTTAACTGACTGGTGATCTGATCTATGTAAAGAGGCATAGGTTCTTTGGCCGAAATCGTCGAGATGTTAGACACCTGTTATTGGAGACTCTGGGTGACAAGTGTTGAAATATTTATCATCTCTTACCTCGTATCCTTTTTGTGTTCATTTTCGCTTTGTTCGCTGTTATGCAGAGCGGCAACCTAGGTGAATGCACATCTATGTAAGGTTCTATATCGATTCGTCTGACTATGTGGTGCTCATTTAAAATAATAATAATAATCATGACTTTATTCCGAAAAACATTTCAGAATTTTCAGCATGTCATTTATCATCAATTGGACATATAATGTATATATATTCATAATAAAATCAAATGCATATAAGTGTTGTACAGAAGATAAGAATATTAACTCTATCTACAACTTTCTTAAAGATGCTGAGTTAACTTAGATAAAGAGTTACGTTAGCAATTAGATTCATAATACACAAATAATAGCAAGCTGTGTAATCTTCAGTTAGTCTGATGTCAAAAGCAAGGGTTGATTAGTTAGTTCATTTCTAACACTTTCTTCCTCGCACAGGGTACGAGCTAAATACTGTATTGTAGGAATTTTATATTTAGTAGTACGTGCATAACGTTTTATATATTCGCTTCTGGTCATGCCTGACGACAGGCGTGTAAAAGCTTAGAGTGAAAAGGATGCTGGTCATCTGATAAAATAACTCCTGCCAGATGTTTACATAAGTTGAGATGTTTTCCCGCAAAGGTTTCAGTTCGAAGGTTTAGAGGTACACCACTAGTTATCCTGACAATCTGCAATGTTATACGCAATACAACATAGTCTCTTTTCAGAAACCCATGAAAGAATAAAGGGGAACAATCGAGGAGAATAGGCGAGATGCATGAGATTATAAAACACGCGAAGCTGAGTTATACCAGATAATCTAAGCTTTCTCATAAAGTCGGAAGATTCTTTCGGAAACTAATGAAATATTATAGAAGGACCAGATAAGATCCGTAAAAAAACAAGCCGAAATAAATCACACTTTTAACATTCTCTAATGCCCAACCATCAATAGAATAGGAAACATAAGGCTTAAGCAGTTTACATGGGTTATGTTTACGTCTGAAACCAAAGTTTATACCCTGATATTTTGAAGAATTAAGCCCAGAACTATTCACGGAGGGCCATCGTCCAATAGTAGGCAGGAAATCGTTCAGTTAAGAATAATCTATTGAAAAGAAGACAAGCAGGGAAACCCCAATGTATGTAAAGGGTTTTCACTAATATTTTAGTTTGACCTTCCAGTTTTTACTCCATCTTGATCATACGAGTAATTTTGTCTATGTAAACATTATTGTTTAAATCTTGATAGCTAATGAGTAGAAATTTCTTTCTTTAAATTATTATTTTTGCATGTTTATCTTACAGAAAAGCCAAACAGACGCTTCATCAAAAAATGTTCAAACTAGTGTGCAAGGATTAATATCTCGTTTGGAGACACTTGTTGATCCTTTTGATTGGAATGTTTGTGCTTCTCGTCTAAGTCGTAATGTCACAAATGCAATCACATCTACCTATCATTTGTATGCTCCTATTATTGGGTCAAGTTCATTCTCACAGATCGAAACTTTAAGAGGTGTTAAGTCATCTTCAAAAGAGGAGGTGGTTGATAACAAAACGGCTGTCTCATTTTTGCCGTTTATTTCGGGCACGAAAAGCAAAACCAAATTAAATTTAACTCCTCTACCACTCAATTCATCCGTTTGTGTAAATAAATGGTCAATATTAAGGACTGGAAACATTTATTCGAAACAAATTTAGTTGTAAGTTGTATTCATAATGACCATATTTCGTCAAATGCTAACAGCCTTTTCATTACATCATACTACATTTAATGATACACCATTGTATTACGTGAATACATAGAGATAAAATCAACACATGACCTGGCATTACTGAGTAATAGTTCAAGTTGCCACACCTCACATATCAGCACATCGCGCGATAAAACGCGAAGGTGAAAAGTACAGAAATAAAGAAGAAACAAATCAAAGGTCATCGAAAAAGACCAAATATGAATGAGAAAATACAGAATTCAGTATGGCAATTGAGATGAAGATAATGTGTTAATCATAAGAAGATTTGTCCCCTCCCTTGGAGACGGGATTAATCGGTGAGTGAGACCAGTCAGAGGGTATCATATCCGTCTCAAATACACTAGGTAACACTTCAGTTAACGTGACCAATAATCCTCAATCACCGTCCTTATATACCTGTGGTATTAGTCAGTTTGTTCATGGTCTGTCTCCTCGTTTTAGATTTATATTATTTTCCCCTTGGGTTCCTAGTGGAACATAGGGCTTTAGTAGAGCACGTCTCCATCGCACTCTGTTCTCTGCAGTCTTTTCAACCTGTCTCAACCACTGCCCAGAAGCTTTCATTTCTTCCTCACATGATCTCCTCTATATCACCCTCGCCACGGACGCCCAACTCGTCGTTTACCATGCGGGTCCCACTCGAGGACCTGGTCTGGTGTGTGGTGTCCCCCAAATGGTCTTCCCAGTATATGCTCCATCCAATCCATCTCCACTTTCTTCCGCTGCATATTTGTTGGGGGATGGGTTCTTGGTTGGTTCGTTGCCAGTTAGCCAAACTTCGTTGTTGCTTATTCTTATTATTCTGGCCATCTGATCTGATCTTCAGTATCGAGTGAGCATAGGCGTCAGCTGTTAATGATGTATGTCTGCAGTTTGTTGGAAATGCTTTCGTAGCGCGCCAAGTCTCTGAACTATCACATAGGAGCAGTTATTTGACTGAGATTAGTGTTGGAAATCCGGATCTTATTCTTTATGCTGAGTGCAGTAGATCTCCAGACTGATTTCAGAATAATGGAAGTCTGTCTTTCTGATCGTGGCTTTGACGTCCTTATCTGTGCCTTTGCCACCTGTGGTTGAACCGATGCTGCCTTGGAAGGCAGGTGAAAGAGACTACTTCCTTTAGAATTCTCCCGTTGATGGTGATTGCTGCTTGTTGTTGTTGATTGAGTATTTTCATCACCTCTGTCTTCTCTACATTCACTTGAAGTCTCGTCTTCGCCGCCTCACCTCTTGTGCCAACTTGTCGGTTTTCGCTTGTAGATCATCGAGTTTGTGTGACAAGACATTAGACGTAAATCATCATCATCGGTGGCGAAATCCAAATCTTCTTCTGTGGTCTTTTCATCGGTCCAGCCACCGTATGCTGGTCTTCTTGCTCCTCACGGTTTGCTGCATGATCCAGTGCAGTTGACCATAATCAGGAAGATGATTGGTGATAGTAGGTGGTAACCTTGTCTTACTCCTGTCTTCACTTCAAAGGCGTCACTGAGCTTTCCATTGTGAATCACTTGTCATATGGCATCACATGGCATATAGCTGTTGAATGAGGTTGATGAAGGTTTGTGACACTGAAACCGTAGTGTTGAAGCAGCTGCCTGCCAAATAAATTGTTGGTCGACGCTGTTGAAGGCCTTTTGAAAATCGATGAAGTTGAGGTAGAGTTGAGTTGACTGTCATTCTATACTGTGTTCTATGATGATGATGACGATGCGTAGCTCAGGGTAGCGTTGCAATTTGCTCGGGACATGATTTGTTCTTTCTGAAGCCAGCCAGCCAGCTGGCCGGCCTGTTCCGGTTGTAATTTTGAATCCAGAGCCCTCTTTAATCTCTTCAGGATGATGCGGCTTAATATTTTGCTTGCTTTGGGTGGACAGCAGCATGATTCCGCGTCAGTCCTTGCAAAGACTAAGGTCTCCCCTCCCCAAGTAGCTCTTCTTCCAATCGTCAGGTACCTTTTCTTCATTCGAAAGCTTCTGGAGTTGTGGTGTGAGCATGTCCGCTGCTGATGTCTCTGCATCTGTTTTCACTGCTTCTGTTGGAATTCCATCTGGTCCTGCTGCTTTTCCGGATCCCAGCAATTTTATGGCATTCAGGACTTCTGCTTATGTCGGAGGGCCTGCGTTCACTGGTAGTTCTGCCGTTGCTTGTGTTATTTGTGGACGAGTTGCAGGTGGTGGTCGATTCAAGAGCTTTTTGAACTGGTCAGCCCATTGTTTTCTTTGTTTCTCCTCTTTGGCAACTAGCTTTCCTTCACTATCATTGGTTTCGTCTGCGTTGATCTCTCCCCTCCCAGGTAGTAATTTTGTTATTTGATGTAATGTTGTCAGGTCTCTGTTTCTCCTACGAGCAACCTGTTCTGCTTCGCTTGCTAACGTGTTGTAGAAGTATCTTTTGTCTTTTCGTGCACTCTTCTTCACTTCTTTGTCCAGTGTAGTGTTTTATAGGTTGCATTCAGTTCCTATTTTCGTTATTCTTCCCTGCAGTGCAGTGCACTTCTTCATCTGCATTCATCCACATTCCTCTCCACTATCAGCTTCCATGTATCCGTCGAGATCCATTTCTTTTCTTCCCTCTTTCTTCTTCCTAAAACGGTTATGCAGGTCTCCTTCCACGTCTCCTTCAAAGAGTTCCAGTATTCCTCCACGCCCGATCCTTCAGGGATGTTGCTCAATATCTCCCGTTTTGTCCTGATTACTGGCTGACTTGAAGATGTCCTTAGTAGTTTCATCCTTCAGTTCAGTTTCTGTTCTGTGTGTTGAACGTGGTGTGGTCTATCACCAACTTCTTTGAAGGCTTCCAACTTGATTTTGAAGGTTCGTTGCACTGGATAGATAGTGAGTGGTGTGAACCTCCATCTACTCCCCTTCTTAATGTGATCTTGTATCCAGTAGGCTGCGTCTCCACTCTCCTCACATTGAGATGAAGTCGATCTGGTGAAGTCCATGTCGCTGCCTTATGAATATTCTTGTGTTTGTACACAGTGTCTCCAATCACCGAATCGTTGAATGTGCAAAAGTTTGCAAACTGTTCTCCATTCTCATTCACCATTTCACCGAGTGCTTCTCTACCCATGATGACTTCTCTTCCTGTATTGTCCGCTCCCAGTTTGACATTCGAGTCGCCCCACCTATTGGAAATTTGAAGTTGCCAACTGGAGTCTTGTACAGTGTTGGTTGCAGTTGTCTGTAGAATTCCTCCTTCTTCTCTTGATCTGCATTATTTGTAGGTGGGTAGCGTAGCATTGTATGCTTGTGACTTTCCTTCCTTCTGAGTTGAATCTTGCTGTCATGATGCTGATCCTGCAGGAGGAGAATGGTTGCCACTGCATGAGAGAGAGAGAGATAGCCTTTGATGCTGTTTGGAGTGGGACATCATGATATCCACTCGAAAACTCAGTGTGCTCGTGGTTGTCGTCTGGGTGACTATATCGGAGTAGATTATTGACTCTCCAGTTGACAGTTTGGAGAGTCCACTTGCATTCCATGTGCATATATCCCTTGCAGATTCCCTTCACTTCAATGCTATACCTTCTCATCTTTTTTGCAATCTGGGTAGCCTTGGTAGTTTCATACATGGTGTGGACATTCCATGTTCACATGTTTAGTTTCGCTCTTGTCGCGAGAGAGAGAGAGAGAAGACATCGGCGAATTGTCTTCCCGAAGGCTTTCACCAACCGGCGTCATTTCGTCTCTCTGATTCCGGAGAGGAATAAGTTTATTTTTATTTTTTTTTATCTTTTCTTTGTGCTTAGAAGTTTGTTTAGCTGTTGGATTGGTTTTGGGGGATAGGGTTGCTAGCCTTATGCCCAAGCTTCTTTCCTTATCCTGAGTTAGGACGGTGTAGTAACTAGTGAACTGGTTAACTACTCGATGTTTTGTCTTAGATTACCCATGGCTTTTTAAACTACTCTACGTTTTGGGGTTCTTATTTTTGCGTTCTGTGTAGGATACAGTTGGATAGAGGATAATGGAATATTAGATGAAATAACATAGGAGTGAAACTTGAGCACTGTGACATCTTTTTATGACTGTGGATAATATATCTCGGAAACGTAATCCAGTGAACAGTAGTATACTACTATGTGAATAATTTGACAAATTAACTAAAACGAATACTATTAAAACTTAGTTATATGATGATTAAACCTGACTCGACGCTCGCTTACTTTCAGGTTATTCTTAACAACTATGTTCTGAATGTTTATAATTCAAAGTGAATATTAGTTGACTCATGTAACCAGTCATCTGCCCTGGGAGTGAATCGTAGGCGGACCCCTCTACGCCACTTTCTTATTGATTTTAAATTATTGATTGTTGTTGCCTACCGCCGCTACCTTTTCGATCTCGTTATGCTTCGATTCCTACCAATGTTTGCCGTCCTTGTATGGACTTCTTATCTGTCTAGATTTTAATTATTATGATTTCCGAGAGCCTTCACCGGTGGGTTCGCATTCATCCATTATTTCGGAAGAAGCCACTTATCTTTACTGGCTTTTTCTAAGCACTTTCTGTTGCCGTCTTCAACATTATTTTTACACCAGACTGATATTGATGACTGTCTAGCCAGTCATCACCGAAACAATCCCTAGTGTTCTCATTGTCGAGCTGCACTCTCATTGGTCTTGGTCCAATATTTTTTCTGTCTACATTTATGTGCAGACTTACGCGTGATCGCTGTCCGAACAAATGCGACAGAAAAAGCAGTAATCTTCCATCGATCTTCTCCGGTAATAACTGGCAGCGATATGGTCTATTTGCATTCACTGTTGAGTTGAGTTTATGGACGCCACGTCAGAAAATATCTCTCTTCATGTTTGAAGTTCGTACTGGCAAGATATTGATCGTTGTCTGAGCACAGTTGTAGCAGGTGATTACCATTATCTGTTCATTTGGCTGTGTTTTCGAATGTGCTACCTGTGTTTCTGCCTAACTTAACCTACCCTTTTGTGCATTGGGACCCCCTGCTATAACAACCATGTCTGAGTATTTGACTTTCAGTAGAAGGCTAGACATTTTTCGGTAGGAACCATCCTTGACTTCATCCGAACTGCTCAGTCAGTGAGTGCGTAAGCAGAGAAAACAGATAAATTAAATATCAAGTTCCACTACTCTTTAGTTGTCTCTGTACTGTTTGATCGATTTTTGCAAGGGTCACTGTCAACTGTGATCCAGTTGAGTAGTTCACTTTCTATCTTAGGACGCCTGCTAGACCATGATAACTAACACATCGAATCTCCAGAAACTCAAAGGGTAAATTTTACGAATTCGCAATGTTGGTCGAGTGACGTTAAGTAAATGACCACTTGGGTCCAGTATGTGTGTCTTTCAAACGTCGCACATACCTCTTGCCTATGAATATCCTTGGTCGACTTGACAGAGATTGCGTATATTGAAAGTTTCATTGAGTGTTTTGGAACGCATTCTCAGAAGTCCGGGGTTCTGTCCTGTGAACTCAGATCGTTGTTAAAAGCTGCGAAGCTGAAACTAATTAAATATGATGTAGGGATGTTTAAGGAAGTTTAGAAGCTAAGGACATGCTAGGTGGATAAAGATCTGTGTGAACTTAAGTGCCGACAAAGTTGTTAGGGCTGTTGACACTTACTTGCTCCCCACACCGTGGGAGGCTAGTTCTTCTTAACCTACTTGAAAAAGAAGAATAATAATAAATGACTGCAGAGCCCAAGGAAAATTTCTTGAGGCCGGTCACACACGACCTTTTTAGAAGTTCGGTATATTAGTTTGTTTTTCGTGAGTTCGTATCTTTGGCATCGGTATGCCGCGAGGTGAATGGTAGTGTGCTGTTTGTGCGGGCCGACTTAGCCTTCTCCTTCCCATAGGGAAGGCAGTATCGGCATGACACTGCTGTTCATCTTCGGGGAAACCCTTACTGGTGTCACACTTCCTTCCAGCCACCATTACGACTTCGTCTTCAGACCCCTATCATGGTGTAGAAATTTACACTACGACAGTTACTGTTTTTTTCATACCGCTATCCAACTGACCTTTATAGTATGGTGAGATCTTGAGGGATTAAGCGTTTGGCCAATATAGCTGGTTGGGTCATTTTGTTATACACGCCCATCTACCACCTCAAGGTAACAACTATTGGTCGAGATTACGAAACGTATTCTTATACATTTACTACTCAGAAGAATGTGTCGATTATGTTTGAAGAAAATGTGTTAGTGAAACAGAGTAGAAGACTATAGTGATTTGAGGTTTGAAGCCTAGAGGTAGCGCAGCGAGACTGAATCAGCGATAACAGCGAGATATTTACATGAACCAAAAGTCGGACATTAGAAGTATTTGTGTATATACTTAACAAAAAATCTACATGACATAAGTACCGCGAACCTGGGCTTAAAAAGGAACAGGACATTAATAAAGTGTAAGGTAAGAAAAGAATGGAACAATTGTGTTACCATACAAGCTTTTTGTAATTAAATATTGCTCTTCAAAAGTAAATGATACCAGAAAACTACTCTGTCACAACTGGCTTCGATTTTAAACTCTTCTTATTAACGTCTTAAGTTTTTGTTCTAATGATCTTATCCAAATCGTTGTTACTCACCAACGGACTCTAACTGAACATAGCTGTCGTTCTACTCATGGTTTCATGTCATCAACTGATTTTCTTTTCCACCAGCCAACAAGCGAAAAATGATCTTCATTGAAGTCAGTAAGATGATGTGTAAGGTTTATCCAAATTACCGAAACCCTTACATTAAAAGAAATTCCCTCACATGCTGACATTTTCTGCCCATGGTGGCGTCGAACTTCAGTCTTATTTAGATACTGTCACCATCGGAAACATTGGTTTTCAAACAAAACAGTGTCGGACGTTGTCATTTTGAAAAGACCAAGTGTCTTGAGACTCCATTGCATATGCCATCGCATTGTATACCTGGAATTTTACAACCCTTTGAGTGAGAAGATAACTTTACAGGTGACCGTTAATAGTGTATACAGCCTTTGCTAAATGGAGCTAAATTATGCATTTCACACAACTGCAATGTTTTCGATACTAACAGTTTATCAACACAAGGGTGTATGTAGATACCAACTTCTGCTGGTCGTGCAAGTTACTTCTTGTAGGAGCACTGTAACGCAAATGGTGAGTGTTTAAGAAAACTGATGTGTGATTTAGATAAGCCTCATTTCATCTTACAGTAAAATTTTATCAATTGCATAATAAAGATCAAAAACCTTACTTCAAATAAACTATCTCAAGCTTACTTCAAAACTGTTTCAGTAATGCTATCGGCGAAATTAATGAGAAGTGAAACCAGACAGTCTATGCTGTTAGTTTCGAATGACAAAAATAGGTAGTGTTATACCGTTACCCTACCTAAGGCCTTCTTTTGTTTATTGAAATGTTAATGGAGAATTGAGGGATACTCCAAAAGGTGATTCCAAATAAGTGGTCCTGTTCAGGGACTTGAATCAAAACGTGATACCATTAAAAGACTTGTTCGTCTCTAATTCTTTTAATGACGTCCTAGCATACAGCGGATATTTTAAACGTATTCAGACCATCCGTAGCCTGAATGGATAGGAATAAGTTAGCATAGAGTAGTGAGATTGACATAATAGGCAATCCACACAACTGTGATTCGTTTTCAACTGCATCAACTAACACCAACACTAGCTAAATTGTGAGGGACCGCAATCAAAAACTTCATAATTTCTCATACACTAATCACTGAAGACCGAATAGGTTAAGGTTTTATCTCAACTTGGGGATTTAACTCTCACCTTTTAAGATCTAATATTGAGCTAAATTCTAACTGCTAAAAGAAATCTTTATCGCAACTCTTTGTATCAATAAACTTTGTAGATACTCCGTCTGATTCATTTCTTTTACCTGAAATCCTACATGCAACTTCATTTTCGCTTACTCGTTGTATTCGCAGCACTTCAGCTATCCTCTTAGCACTTTCGTAACATTTATAATAAAGGAGTCAGTAATTACATCACAGTATTTTGTCAATATCAGTTTTCCCCTAGAATCCGACCCATCATTGCACTCATTATATTACACTACAGCATAGTAGGGTACTGTACGAAGAAACACTCTTCTGTGGTTATCGTGTGTTGTATTACTTTTAAAAAGTTATCATTGTTTCAGTTCTTTAATTTTATGAATACAATGTTAGTTATGGAGTTCGCATGACTCTAAACTCATGCTTCGGAAACGTTAATACTCCCGACTTAAGTTTTCTCGTTTTATATAATAATCTTAGAAGGTGGAAGCTGCATATATTGTAACTCACTGTTTTAGATATTCAATCCTCAACCTCAAGAAATCGAAGGCAGAGAAGGATTTTAGCGCTGAATAAAGGTTCTGGAAGTGGCTTTCCTCTGAAAACACCATTTGTTATGGTTAACTTCAGTCAACATCTCTCCATCAGTTTTCATGCGCATAGCTCTTGACACCTGTGTAGGTATCATTTTCACTCATTTAAATACTTTTGTCGTTTATCTATCAAATCCATATTCATCGCGGTATCGTATGCATTACATACTCATGCATGTCTGCATCACGACACTAAAGGCCGTAAAACCTGTTTTATAGAAACACTTCCGCTATGCTATGTGGATAGTCTTAAAACCATCTATCCTTGTATAATATATCACTGATCTATAGTAATATTTCTTAGACCTCAGTCGTCTTTTTGATACACTTTTTGGGCACTTGGACATGTATAGTACGTGAATAAATGTTTCTTTAATACATTCAATTGTTTTATGATTTCTTTCTCCTCCTTTTAAATTACTTTCCCATCTAGATCGTTCATTTTCTACGCACCGTGCCTTATCTGTGATCGTCTTTCAATGTGGTCGTATGGTCGATTTCGTTTCACCTCTGATGGTGCTCAGCTTTTGATGTAATCTGATCATTTGTAGCGGATTTCTTATTGTTTCGTTGTTGTAAAAAATGAATACATAATATGATCTATCAGTTATTTTAACATTATATTTGAAATCTTACAGTAAATGTGAATAAAGTAGTTCTCCATAAACCTTCTGTGCCTATTCAGGATCACGAACAACAGCAGTTTTGACAAATTCACGTAGAATGAGTATTTTAGGTGTCGTTTCAGCTGAATCATATGTTTTGCATTCCAGTTTGATGTACTAGTTCTAGTTATTATGTAGGACAATGTTTGGTATTATATGCATATCCACGTGCTTGTTTATTAAGAAAACTCAAGAAGTTATATTAATCAACAGCATAAAGTAGTATCAATATCAGAGGTCATCATGAGGCAGTTTATTCGGGTGGCTGAAATAACTTCAAACCACATAAACTCTAATGTTCAGTTTGCAGTGATACTAGCAAGCGTATTGTTGCCAATATCCTATTCCTCCACCGTTAGTTGTTATGTCTTTAGCTTCACCACTGAGCGACGCAGGTTTGAATCACTAGTTTCAACACTAGCTGATCCCCTTAGCTGATAAGTGCTGACGAGCATGAAACCTAGATCTAGGGTTTCATGCTGGTTGACTACCATCATCTATTTACTTTGTTATGTAGAACAAAGTATTAAATCCAGTTTACTATATTTATACCATAATCAATACACAAATGAATTTCTAACAAATTAAGCATTAAAAAACCGTGTAAAAACGTCAAACAGTTGTAGATTAAGTTGCTCTATTCAAGCTGGTGCGTTGAATTTGCCACCAAAGCTTTTTATGACAATGTAGTGCCATCTAGAGGAGAAAATTTGAAAGGAGATTACCATTAGTCTTATCTCTATATTTACAATGACTTGCATATAACCATTGAATTAGTACAACCCAGTGGGGAAACAAATAATTGCCTGCAAAATCCCGATATCCTTAAGGTAAATTTGTCTTTCGGTTAAAAAAAAGCATGTTTTGTTAATTGATCGTAGTTTCAAGACATCGACCGATTTAAATCTATGCCGCCAACAGTCCTCAACCACCGATTCCTATCGTTCCAAGGACCCCAGCCAGGCAGTCTGCATCTCTCCACACGTCTCAGACCAACAGTCAGAAACCTCATCGACTAGTGCCACGTCTTGGCCTGGCCACCCTGAACTCTGCCAACCTATTGGCTGGCTCATAGAGGTAGGCGGTGGATCGGCATGCGCAACACATATCAAAGCCACCTAAGTCGATGAAAGTTCTGAACCTCATCAGTCAACTCGCCTGGTTCCCTCCACCTGACCTACACATTGCTCACACAGGGATTCCGCCAAACGTCGGCAATACCACAAAGGCACCTGTAATCAAAAGTCTATAGCCACGTCATTTCTTCTGATTCCAACAATCACGTCTTATAGTCGTTATGACAAGACGGACTGCAGTGCAGTATACTCATTCTTTTGACAGGCAGTCGGATATCTCGCCAGTCGGCATCACCGGTGACCGAAGTTGGCAAATGTCAAAGAGGCCTTCTGAATCCAAGATGAGACTACGTCATCAACCAGCATGTTTGAAGTGGCGCAACTTTCCAAGCGAGTGAAGTGATCGACATATGCCACCACCTTACTCTGTATAATTAAACTGGGAGTACTTATTGCAGACCAGTCCTGGAGCGTCATTTGACAGGGGCCAGGAAATCCATACCAAACATACGCAACGCTCCCTACACTTATCATCGTCCTCATGTAGCACGACAACACCGACTGCATACTCCAAGTTAACTAGATTCCTGCCCTCCAGGGAGTAGGTCGATCCCTGTGAAGTCAGACGTACATAAGGTCACGTCCATTAGTACATTGATGACGAAGACAAATGGGAACGGTGACAGTGGGTATCCCTGGTGGACACTACTAGTTATCGTCACTTCACGTGACAACTCTCTAATACCCCTTACACAGCTGCATAATTTCGAGTAGACAGCTTTGATAAGCACCGTATACTTGCTTAGTACTCGCTTCACAGTCAGGCACTGCCACCATACCTCATGGTCGACTGAGCCAAATGCCGCCTTCAGATCGAAAAATATGACAAGTATCTACCACTGACCGGTAAGTGTCCAGACTTTGTTGGAGGGTGGAAATATCGACGTGAAGACTTACTCAATTTACGTTTATATTGCTCTCGCTTTTCACAGACAGCTAGAATCAGTCTTCTCGCATCATTTTGGAGAACGTCGCCGAAATTCAATGACGTTTGCTAACTTCCGGGTGTAAGTTACCAACTGGCATTGCCGCTGTTTCTGTAAGAATTAAAATCACGCCAGGTTTCCTCAGAATGCGCATCCATGTCATGTTCAGATAAATACTTATCCAGTCGAGTATGCACTAGCTTTATTATCACCAGTTTTCTGTGACTAGTAGTGCCCAGACATACACGAGCGTGTAATAACGCGTGGCCGGAATCCAAACTGGTCGAAAAGGATCGAAATGCACTCAGGACTCTTGTACACATTCATGTAGTAGGTAATGAGTCACATATATTGTATGAGGGTTAGTAGTACTACCTGGCTAACCAAACCCCTGTAGACGGAACAGTGGTGGAAGCCGTGAGATACTGGCTGGAAGTTATCTCCATAAACCAGTGACCCAGAGCTCTACACCTGAATGTATGGCTTTCTGTAGCTAAATTGACATATGATAGAATTCATTCTTTCAATCATGCGAACTGCAGTCGATGGGGACTTAGGCGCAGATTACAACCGTGTAAAAACGTCAAACAGTTGTAGATTAAGTTGCTCTATTCAAGCTGGTGCGTTGAATTTGCCACCAAAGCTTTTTATGGTGGCACCGACTAGTCTCACGACCCCTCCTGATTCTTAGAGATTCATTCATGTTTTGCCCCTGCAAGCGAGTTCACGAATCCTCTTAAGGTGAAGTCAGTTGAATGAATAACCGCATTCGAGTGCTGTGTACATGTCTCAGAAACACAGCATACATCCGTGTCTTGAGATCCCAGAGTTCTTGTGAGTGATGCTTGCTATCCGATGTAGCGTAGAGTTCGGACGTTGAAATCGATAGCGAGGTCTTTGGAAAGTAGGAATGAGGTATCGATGGCTTTGACTGTTCGTAATAGTCTCCAACCACTGGTTCCTCTTATCCCGTGGACCCCAACCAGCTAATCTACATCGCTCCACATGACTCAAACCAACAGTCAAAGACTTCATACATTAGTGCCATGTTTTAGTCTGGGCACCTCGAGCCTTTTTCCAGCCTGGACCTACTTCAGCCAACATTGTGTGACGAGGCAATCGGTGACTAGGCATAAGTAACACATGACCCAACCATCAATCGATGAAGGTTCACAACCTCGTCAACCGACTTACCTCTACTCCTTAAAACTCTGCACCTGACTTCTGCGTCACTCACGTAGTGACATCATGGAATACGGCCTATACTACGAAGACAACGGTGGTCAAACACCTGGAGCCTTCTCATGTCTTCCACCTCCAATGGCCATGTTTCACAGTCACACAGTAGAACAGAGCGGACTGTTGTGCAGTACATGCGACCCTTAATATCCCGGCGGCGCCATAAGTGACGTAAGTTGGCGAAAGCCAATCGAGCCTTTTGTATCCGTGCAGAGATTTCGTCGGTCACTGAGCCACCAGGGCTGATCCTACTTCCCAGGTAAGTGAAGTGGTCAACACACTCAATCACTTCACTCTCTATTGTTAGCCGTGGCACTGTTGAAGATCAATCCTGGAGCAACAATTTGCATTCCGGTGGTCAGAAACGCACTCCGAACATTCTCAAATTGACACTCGAAGTGTTCAAAAGACTCTACATCTCGTCAGCATCATCACCTAACAGGACTATGTCATCTGCATATTCTAGGTCTAACGAAAATTCTCCTGCGATTAGGTCAACGTCTGTGTAATCAGGCGACGAGAGGGAAACCTCCACGAGAATATCTATGATAAAATTGAATCAGAATGGAGAGAGTGAGCACCCTTGACGGACACCAGTCGATGAGCATAGCTCCCTGGACATCTCACTATAGGCTCCAACACACCCACAAGTGTTCGAGTAGAGAGCCTTCAATAAAGTCATGTACTTACTCAGTATGCCTTTTAGTGAGAAACATTGCCATAAGACTTCTCGATCAACGGAGTCGAATGCCGCCGCCCTCAGGTCGAGAAATACAGCCAGTGTCGGGTGTCGGTAAGCGTGTCTGTGTTCAAAAGCCTGGCATAGTGTGAATATTTGGTCGATACATCCGCGGCCAGGTCTAAAGTCTGCCTGCTTGGTTTTATCGGGCTTGTTGTTCCCGAGCTCCACTCAGGCGTCAAAAAATTATGGTGTCTTGGACACTTTGTTGGTCAAGCTGATTCCTCTGTGGTCATCACAAGAGGGCTTCTTGCCTTTCTCGATGATTGGGATAATCAGTGACTTAGACCAGTCAGAGGGGATCGTATTTGATTCCCACATACTGGTTAATACTCCCGTTAACCTGACTAAGAGCACTGCACCATCATCCTTGTATACGTCAGCAGGTAGTCCGTCTGGTCCTGCTACAGTTCCTCTTCTTGTGGTATCTGAAAGAGATTTGTTTGAACGCGAATCTCAGTTGACGTCTGCTTTAAGGCTGCCATAAGCAGCCCTTTAAGATCGCTTTTACAAGATTTGGTTGTTCTAGCAATGCATAGTGAAAAGCTATACTGCGGGTCAGGGAGGAGTGTGCTATTTTTGAGTGGATCTTTTCTAACTCCTTCCCACAGGAAAGGCTGCATCAGCGTGACACTGTCATATCCCAGCTAGCAATTTAACTTTTCCCTCAGACCTCCATCGTAGTGTAGCAATTTACACTACAACGGTAACCTCTTTTCGTCTTACCCATATCCAACAGATTTTTATGGCGTGTTAAGACCTCGAGGGAACAAGTGTTCTAGCCAGTATGGGTTGGTGGGCTATTTTGGTATACAAGAAAGCCTGACCACCACGTCATTGGGGTAGCTATCATCCGGCGAAACAGGCACAGACAGGTTGGTTTTCATTTGTTTATAAATCTCTCTTGTGATCTACCCTACTTCACTTTCTTGTGCCATTAGAAGGTTTGCTGAAGAAAACTATAACCTATATCGGTATAAGTGACGGCATTGTCTTCTAAACTACGGTTGGAAATCTGCATTATGAATTAATCATGATCCTTGTTTTTTTTATAATTTCGCATAAAGTACAAAGAATGAATAATGAAACTTTATAGACATCAGATTGAAACGTTTTCATGAAATGCTAACTACAGAATGACTGTTATTGCGTTTTTACTAGGTCGTTGCAATATAGTTATCTTTAAACTACTATCTATTACCAGATTTTCAACCAGGAATTCTATGGAAGCTTCTCGAAGCCAGTTGTTTTACACTGCGAAAAAGTGACTTACTTCTGCAATTTTCAGTCTCCTACTGTATATATTCTGCTTGCGTGTCAAATCTCGTTCTTCGCTGACAAGTTTAACAAAATCTATCACAGCAGGTACGCAATATGATGAGATTTGGTCTTCATATTTTTGGTTAAGTGCTCTCTCTGTTTTAAGTTCCTTCATGCAAAGTAATTACGAAAAAAAAAATGTTAATTATGCTTCGGTTTACTTTGTGGTAAAATGTTTTATTTCTGTATGGAGACATATTTAATAAGGTTTGTTAAGTTTACTGTACATATTTTGTTAGTACGTTTTTTGAGCTCCGTTCGAAAATAATTGTGTGCTTAATGCGTCCGGATTTGTTCACATTTGAAATTCAGTGGTTAGTTTTAATTTTATTCATACATGTACTTTACACTGAATTACCTGAACAACAAGTAAATTTCATCATTACCTTCATTACTTCATTTCATATCTGACAGGAAATTGATGATTATTTTAATCATGACTTTCTCCTCTAAGATTTGTTGTATGTCTGTTGTAAGCCTTTTTTGTTACAGTTAATTTCCTAAACGTGTGAATAATCTTACGAAGTATAGATAGTATTCGTGAGGCAATTATGGACGCTTGCATTTGAAACGTTTTTGTTTAGGCCGTGCAACTAAGATGTAGAACATCGATGGTACAAAATTGTATCATTTCAAGGTACCACTTTTCAAAGCTGTTTTTAAATAAGAAGCGGATAGAAAGAGAGTGGTATTGAAGTAGGCAGAAGTATATTATGAGAGATGGCAAAAGCAAATGGAAGTTAGAATACATGTTCACAGTTTCGAAGGCCCAAAAATGTTTATGTATCTGTGCTTTTCTGATCGGTTTTGGGATATGTCATCCAGACACCCCATAGATCGTTAGCAATGATCGCGCGGTAAAAAGTTAAGGAAATTGAATTGGGCTTATTACTGGTAACAAGAGCAGGTAGCGACAATAAATGAATGGAATTAAATAAGGAAGGTAATAGCTGGATAGATATCATGTACGACTGGATTAATACAAGGGCTTAGTACTTTTAGATCGACCTCTACCTTGCAAGATGATGTCTCTATGGTTTACCTGAAAGTGGATTCGTTTCGAGTGAACACTGAACCCCAGTAATATCTGGTAAAAGCCGTTCACACCCTTTTAAGAATTTTTTGTGTGAAATTGATTGTTTCGTTCAAACTAGAAACACTCATATCGTCTGCACTTCGGAAGAGAACGGAGGCCAGGGAGTGTGCTACTGTTGAGGGATGACTTTTTCTAACCCTCCTTTCCATGAAGCGAACGTAGTATCAGCATGGGATCCTGGTTATCCGTGAGAAGGACCTTAGTGCTGTCACTTTACGTGCAACCAACAGTAAGATTTTCCGACAGACCCGCGGTGCGTAAATCATTTGCAACGTTACAGCAACCTTTCTTGGTCGCATCACTATCCACTAGACCTCTCTGACACTACAGGACTTAGGTGAATAATAGTTCCAGTCAACTTAACTCGGATTATTGCCATAGGCACGTTCAACCACCACTTTAAGGTAGCAATTGTCAGTTGAGTTGTTATTTACAACATAAGTGACTGACATGTATATTATATTCAACTTATTTACTGGTGAAATGCCCATAATAATTCCCACAATGTGTTTGTAAACACAATGACCGAAGTTCTTACGCATCGAAAACAATTATGGGTCATTTTAAAAAGTTATTGACAGCATAACCGCAGCTGTTTATTATGAACATGTTCTTCACGCTAGGAAAGCGAACGCCTTACCTGTTTTGCTAGAATATCCTCACTTTCAACGCGTCTTTGCATTTCTCGTCTCTGGTTTTGTTCTTCTTTGGTATATTTTTGCTCCTGTAATGCTTCACTCAGTTTTTTCTGAGATAATCCGATATTTGTAATCAGTTAGATGTCATACACCTACTTTATATCCACTTAGTATTTGAAGAGTTCTAGCAGCAGTTATTTTCATCTTCTGAATTGTATGGTTTTTTTCATCAATCTCAGCAAGACATTTTGTATTGTCTATCTTCATTTGTTCGAAATCGATTGCACTAAGAACTTCTCCAGTTTCTTTTTGTCGCAGTTGTTCTTTTATTTTCTTAAGAGCAGTTTTTAGTGAACTGTTTTTCAGGCGCAGTTTGTCTGACAAGGTGTCCTTGAATGTAAATCATATGGTAGAATACAGTATAAGAAGTTATGATGACAATATTAAATATTTTGCGTCAATTAAATCAACCAAAACAGCTGTCTTTTCATGAAACAAGCATTTCCCGTTATAACTTTTTTTCATATCCCTGGTAGATATTTTTAAGTTTCATACTTGGATCTCTCTGGTTATCTTTATAGTGATATACTTATAATACTTTTAATATGATGTGAGACTTCTCCAAAAATCATGCTTTTAGTAACTTGACAATTCTGCAATAGCAATCTTTTTACCTTCAAGCAGACAAAGTCAATATATGTCAGACCTGGCATTACTGCACAATGGCCCAAGTTGCTACACATAATATTAGGACAGCAAGCGAGAACCCACTAAGGTGAAAGTTAAAGAAACTTAGAAGAGATGGGTCAAAACTGGTGGAAAGCCATCAAAGGAAACTAAACTAGGACGAGAATATAATGAATTCAGTGAAAAATTTAAGGTGAACGTCGATTCTGAAATACATCACGTATACTATCTAACAACTAACCTGGCGTAGTTAACCAGTTCACTAGTTACTACACCGTCCTAACTCAGGATAAAGAAAGAAGCTTGGGCATAAGGCTAGCAACCCTATCCCCCAAAACCACTCCAACAGCTAAACAAACTTCTAAGCACAAAGAAAAGATAAAAAAAAATAAAAATAAACTTATTCCTCTCCGGAATCAGAGAGACGAAATGACGCCGGTTGGTGAAAGCCTTCGGGAAGACAATTCGCCGATGTGTCTTCTCTCTCGCGACAAGAGCGAAACTAAACATGTGAACATGGAATGTCCACACCATGTATGAAACTACCAAGGCTACCCAGATTGCAAAAAAGATGAGAAGGTATAGCGTTGAAGTGAAGGGAATCTGCAAGGGATATGCAGATGGAATGCAAGTGGACTCTCCAAACTGTCAACTGGAGAGTCAATAATCTACTCCGATATAGTCACCCAGACGACAACCACGAGCACACTGAGTTTTCGAGTGGATATCATGATGTCCCACTCCAAACAGCATCAAAGGCTATCTCTCTCTCTCTCTCTCTCTCTCATGCAGTGGCAACCATTCTCCTCCTGCAGGATCAGCATCATGACAGCAAGATTCAACTCAGAAGGAAGGAAAGTCACAAGCATGCAATGCTACGCTACCCACCTACAAATAATGCAGATCAAGAGAAGAAGGAGGAATTCTACAGACAACTGCAACCAACACTGTACAAGACTCCAGTTGGCAACTTCAAATTTCCAATAGGTGGGGCGACTCGAGTGTCAAACTGGGAGTGGACAACACAGGAAGAGAACTCATCATGGGTAGAGAAGCACTCGGTGAAATGATGAATGAGAATGGAGAACAGTTTGCAAACTTTTGCACATTCAACGATTCGGTGATTGGAGACACTGTGCACAAACACAAGAATATTCATAAGGCAGCGACATGAATTTCGCCAGACACCAGGACACACTACACTAAAAATCAGATCGACTTCCTCTGAATGTGAAGAGAGTGGAGATGCAGCCCTGTGGACACAGGATCAGATCAAGAAGGGAAGCAGGTGTAAACCCCCCCTTGGTCCAAACATATCCAAATTGTCACTGGATGTATATGGAAAGCCCAGCATCTTTTAAGCGTCTTAACCCAATATCACCATGTTGTCGGTGTCCTCAAGAGCTACCATGATTTCTTCTGTGATAAGACCAGTCTCTGTAAAGTCAGGAGGAGAGGAAGTTCTCCATAACTACATCTTTTACAAAATTTAATAAATGGAGATTGTGGATATCCTTGATGGAAACCACTCGACCTACACACTTCATCTGATACCTCACCGTAACCTTTGAAACTCCCACCGGTGTTTGAGTATAGAGCATCAACAGGGTGATGTACCTACCGGGGAGCCTTTTCAGTGAGAGACACTGTTGTAAGTACTGTCGAATGTCACCTTCTGGTCGAGAAATGTAGCTGATGTTGGGTATCGGGAAGTGTATCTGTGTTCTAGAACCTGGTGAATAGTAAATATCTGATTGACTCACCCGCGCTGAGGTGTGAAACCTGCCTACGTTTTTGGCTTCGCTGTTCCCGAGCTCCAGTCAGACGTGAGGTAATCATACACTGATACTGCTGTAGTTATCAGAAAGATTTCTCCCCTATTGTGGAGACCTGGATAATCGTTGTTTGAGACCAGTCAGAAAGTACCATAATTGACTCGCTAGGTATTGCCTCAATAAATGCAACCATCATTCTTTTGGTTCTCAGGAGACAAAAACATTCTTGAGATTTTATGTGTTAAATGAAATGCAATAGACAAAATCAAGGTAAATTCAGGAACTAAGGTGAATCGGTTCAAATTGTCACACCTTACAGAAGCTTGCAAAGAATCAGTGGGTAAAACATTTTTTTAATTGAAAGCAGGCAAATGAGCAAGTGAAGAGAGTAAAAGTATGTGAAGGTTTAAAAAATACCAAGGACTCTGAGACAGAAGACAGTGTAAACAATGATGATGGTTTGCTGTTCTCTAAGCTTTGGTATTTTGTCACGAGCTTTTCACTGCTAGGTTTTTTTACGAGATCCTTAGCATTAGCTTCATAAAGGAGTCTTTTCCATCATTTTAAAGAGTGTATATAGTTACGCTTGGTTTTCATTCGTCTTACCAAGAAATTCCCAACCATTAGTTGCTGCCCTCTCCAACAGACAGACAACGCGACCCGGGCCAACATTTGGAGACTTCATAGACTTATTCTTATCCTAGCTACTTTGAGTCTTTTCCCAACCAAAACTTGCTTTAGCTAACATTTCAAGCGTAGGTTGATTGTTAATCGGCATGTGCAACACTTGTTCAAGCCATCTCTGCAACTAAGGATCCACTACGTCATCGATTGACCTGACCTCTTTGTTTAATACCCTTTGTCTAACCTCGCTATTGCTTTACACAACGATTCTACCACATGTGAACCGTGCTACGAAAACACCTGTAGTCAAAGCGTTGTAACCCCTTTTTACACTTCCATGTTTGTTGGATGTTTCACACAGTGAAATAATATCATTCACCAGATGACAATTCGGACAGAATCTGTTTTTAAATATCGAACAAACAAATTACCATTACAACAGCGCTCAAATTATATTCTTGCGTTAACCTCTTCGTGTTTTTTGACTTAAGTAGCCGTGCCTCACAGGCGCATAGTAGGTAGCATAGAGCATACTGTATCACAGTATACTCTTTGTCTAATGAATAGCCGGAATTCTCGCCAAAATCCCAGGTGATGTAATTGCAAATGTTCAGCGGTTCTATTGCATTTGACCTGTGATTTTGTCGGCAGGTAGCTCATTCGAACTGATGCAACTCTGTAAGCAAGTAAAGTGTTCAATATATTCTACCAGCTCACTTCCGATCATTAAATAAGTAGGCCATTCTGGAAGCATGATATCACATTTGACATGTGCAAAACATACTCAAATCTTTTGCTCAAGGCGTTCAGAGATTGCATCACTTAGTCGTTTTCCCATAACAGGATTTTGTAGTCTGCACATTAAAAGTCAATCACGGGTCTTTATGGAATTAAGCTAATGTGTTTAAAATTGGCGATAACTAGGGTTGTATTCATAAACACGTTTATAACCAAGCTGAATAGGAATAGTAGCAGTGTGCATCCTCAATGTAAACCACCTGTTTTTGCTCCTTTACGCAGCTGCCTGAATTCCGACGAAAAATGAGTAGTTGGCCTCTACTATCTTTGCAGTCATAGGATACTACTACAACTCAGTCGACAGTGAGATGCTGTCGCTGGTCAAGAAATTTGACAAGTATTTGTAAGTATGCCTGCATTCCAAAATCTACTGAAGGATGAAGATTTGATCGATGCGTTCTCTCTGAAGTTTAAAAACTGTCTGGTTTTTTTTAGTTCCGTTGCTCTCCAGCTCTATTATTGTGTCGGATGACTGTGAACCTTAGGATCTTAGATGGTATGGTAATTGTACTGATTCTCGTGTAGTTTTCACTTGAATATCTCCCGGCCTTCTCACTAAATGGGGTGATAAGCCATCCAAAGCAGTCTAACGGGAATACCCTTGGTTCCCAAACACCAGCTAGCATCTTCATCACTATGCTCGGTAGTTTTCTACATCCTTGCTTAGAAACTTCAGCTGGTAAGTTGTGTGGTCCTACTCCTGTGCAGCGTATTAGGTTTGAAGCAGCCTTTTCAACTTCAAGGAGAGTTCAAGGATCAACACTTACTTCCCATTCCTGTTCGAAATGGGTGTTCGGCAACTGAAGTGTGGCTGTGAATCGGTTGAACTGTTCTTCAAAGTGTTCTTAAAATAGTAATGCTTTCCATTTCTCCTATCTCAGGTGTTTATAGGAGATATTCCTTCAGCTTTTCTCGCTACATCCACCCCCAGTATGCAAGGAAGTGGTTTATGAAGTTCACTTTTTTTCTGTAATAATAGGTTCGGTTTTGTTTCTGTAAAAACGAATGAGTCTTAAAATCATATGTATCATTGGTTAATATTCAGAACAACTTTAAAACTCTACATATTTTTCGATTCATTTATCAGGATTTTTGGTTTATATCTAAATAAAACTGGAAACCATCCAACTCATTTCTTTTTAACCACGGGAGTCGTGAATAAATCGAAATTGGATTACTTGAGTCATGTGTATAAGTGCGCTTTTTGCTGTAAGAGTGTGTCTGTCTTTCGAATGAAATTACCTGATTTTTTAAGTCTGATACTTTATTATTTTTTTCATAGTACTTCTTATCTATACATTGGGTCACTAGTTTGCTGTTTCAGTATATCATGGTGTCACTCTTGATATATTGGTAAGTCTCAAACGTATGCGGTATTATATGTATGAATATTTCATATGTCAGTCGCAAAATTCCCAACATATTGTTATTCAAATGAACATCGAAATTAAAGTCACATTGATGCTTGAAGTGTGGTGTAAACTTTACACAAGTCATAACTCTGGT